TTCAGCTGCTGCATGTAGTAACAAATGAATCTCTTTGTTGTCCTTTTAAGCTCGGGCTCCTTGAAGAGAAGGTCATTCAGAGACACTTTGTCCCCCAGATCACTTAAAAGCTTTTATGATTTCCACATGACTATGAACCCCAGAGGCTCTCTCAGGTAAAACCCTCTTTTCAGCTCTCCTCTTTGCCTTCACATTTAAGTTGGGGAATTACTCCATCTGCTGGTGAATCTGCATGTTGTACAATACTTCTTGTATATTATTATATATTTATTTATTACAGTGCAGGGTTCAATGCTAAGGATTTTTTCTGCTGGCCCAATCGGACTAATGGTTCAGATTTTTACTTGCCCTGCCCATATTTTCACTGGCCCCTCTAAAAAAAGTTAATAGCTATTTCTTAGCCACAAATATAACAAAAAGTGTCAAAATGTTTGTAAATATAAAATGTAAATATTTTTTAAAAATTATAAATGTGTAACGAGCAAAATTCATAGTGTTTTGAAACAAAAGATGGCTAAAGACCAGCCAAACTGACAGCAAACTGTACAAAAGATCACTTAATTTTTTTTAGTCGTGGTGTACCCTGGTATATGTCTGCTTCCAAGACGTTAGAAACAAACGTTTTCCTTTAACATCATCATTTGATGTTACCGCCATGTTGCTGTCTCTTCCCTGTACTAATAACGTGCTCACATCATCCAATCAGATAAGAAGAACCGAGAAGGTAGCATTTGAAGGCTTGAAAATACGAACTGTTTCTCAATTCTAAAACTGTATTTGCACGCAATTGACAAATAGTCACAGGCAAATTAAACTTTAGTAACAAGGCAGCAGTGGCCCGATCGGGCCAGTAACGATCCTGTCTACTGTCCCGAGCATCTCACACGCTGGCCCCGGGCCATCGGGCAGTCCTTATTGTTGAGCCCTGTAGTGTATTTGTGCAATTATCCTTATGAGTAATCTGTTTATTGTTTCTCTTTCTAATCTCTTTATAAATAATCTCTTTATTGCTCACTGTTGTTGTTTTTGCTGTTGTTGTTTTTCTTTAAACAATTGTGAATTACTTTAGGACAGGGGTGTCCAAACTCAGTACTGGAGGGCTTTCGCTCCAACCCTAATCAAACACACCTGAACCAGCTATTTAAGCCCTTACTAGATATACTAGGAACGTCCTGGCAAGTGTGTTGAAGCAAGTTGGACCTAAACTATGCAGGACACCGGCCCTCCAGGACAGAGTTTGGACACCCCTGTTTTAATATTTTAAATTTAAATGAATATAAACTGTTTTTGGTCTAAATTTGGTACCTTTTGTAATAATTAGATTTCATGAATATTTTGTGGTTCATAATAGTGTTTTAATTAGTAAAGGAAAGTCAAAAATCAAATGAAAAACTTATCACATTAATTTAATATATGAGAGTAAATAAATAAAAGTTGACCATCAAACTATTGATAATAATATATACGACATAAGCAATCAAATGTCATTGAGTGTAATAATAGCTCTTATGCCAAACAATAAATAAATTAGGCATATTTGAGAACAAGAATAATTTGAATACACATAAAATAATCCATAATAACTTAATTCACACATTAAAACAGACACTTTAGTTGTCTTTAAAATGACTTATAAGTCGACACAATAGCCTTGTGGTTATTTCAAATCCACTAGAGTCAAACAGCTTACTGAAACCCCCCAACAACACCCCCCCCCCCACCACCACCACCACCCCCCACATTTTGCTTCCTGTCTGATTACTGTCCTATCTAATAAAGGCAAAATAAGCCAAAAATAAATCTTTAAAAAAGACTTATAATAAACTTATGATACTACGCAATCATTTTATTCATCCCTTACTCCACAAAACTACACTCAAATAATATTTTTTTGCTGCTTGTTCAAACTACCCATTTAAAATTAGCAGAATCAACACAATTCTTGAGTTTTCTTTTTGGGACAACTTAATTTTCTTATGTTCAATCTACTTAAATATGTAAAAACAATTAAATTAACTTAATAGATTTGTGTTGGGACAACATGAAGGACTTATGTGAAACCCAGTATTTTTTACAGTGTATTTTTTTTTTGTCTTTGATATGATGACACAATGTTAGGCATGATACTAGTATTCATCTTAAATTTAATGGCTTAACAAGGTTAATTTGGTTAACAAGTCATTGGACATCAGTGGTTTATTCAATAGCCGATATGAAAAATAATTCATTAATAATATTGACTTTTTTTTTTTTAATTCCAGCCAAACTAAAAGAAATAAGAATTTCTCCAAAAGAAATAGGAAATGTTTGTATAAATTGTATTCAGCACTCTAAAAAACACAGCTGGGTAAATATAGGACATTAGGGGTTAAATTAACCCAAGTAATTGGGTTGTTATTTTTAACCCCATAAATGGGTTGTTTTTCTACCCAATAATTGGTTAGTTTTATTTAAATAATAGGTTAATTTGATCCAAAAATGCCTGCGAAAGATGACCCAGCAATTGTGTTGTTTTGACTCTGCATCACTTAAGTATGATGGGGGATGTGCAGCTTTGATTACAAGTGTACAAAAGGTGCTAGTAAGAAATTTTTTAATTCAGAAAGGTCTGACTAAGGGCTGCTATGAGCATAAATCCAATTTTAATAATATGAAAACGCAAGGAATCTGCGTTTACGTTACACTATTTTCATTGCATTTAAACAAATTAGTACATAATATGTGGTATCCCAGTCAGCCCCTGCTGTGAGTTGATTTGACCCAAAAAGCTGGGTTGAAACTACCCAAGACTCGGAAAATAACTCCCAAAGATTACCCAAATGCCTCAACCCAAGATTTGGGTAGAAAAAATTACCCCATGTTTTTTAGAGTGAAAGTATCCAAATTTCACAGGAGGACTTATAATTTTGTCTTCAAACGTGTATTAAAGGATACAAAACCAAGATATTTCTTCATAGATATTTGCGATTTACAGGAGAGACAACTCTTCCAGTTTTCGGTCTGACAGACCAGCTTATGGCACCTACAGCCCCACTAGCCCTGTACCCATTTATGAGAACGTCTCCGGTTCCAAAGGGGCAAAAGACAACCCTGCAAAAGTAGACTATCCCACAGAAGAAGAGGAAGAAGAAGGCACCTCCTCCAATGAGCCACAGGTGGATGGAACCAATGCCTCTGAAGACAAACCAGTGGTGGAAGGGAAGAAAGATGAGAAGAAAGAGTCAACGCAAGCTTCGAATCAAGACGGACAGGGAGAGTCTTCTGAGGAGGATAACAATGAAACTGAACTGAAGACCAACTCAAACTCCAAAAACAGAGAACAGAAGCCAGTGGAGAAGGATGATGGGAGTTCTGGTGTGGAGAACGGGATACATCCTGATGTTAAATCAGATGAACAAGAAACAGATGCTTCATGCCATGTGAGTTCCGTTAGAACACCTTACAGACTTAATAAGGGCATTTTAATGATAATAAGGGGATTTATTAAGCATTAGAACAATGTCAATGTAATTTAGCTTTAGGTTATATATATTTTCAGTACATTATAATGTGTCCTGCTTATTTTCTGATAAAAAAACTCTATGTTAACTATGATTTACAGAAGATCAGAACAAAAATCATGTGATGCCCTTAAATCACAGTGCAGCCCAATATACAAATCAAGAGTCATTCATTCATTTATTTTCCTTCGACATAGTACCTTTATTCATCAGGGGTCACCACAGCAGAAGGCACCGCCAACTTATCCAAAATTCTGCTCAATTAATTATCATGTTTAGTGTTTCGTGTACTGTTTGAACAATAATAGTTATAATAGTAGTTTGTTGAATACAGTATATACACTCACCGGCCACTATATTAGGGACACCTTACTTCTACTGGGTTGCACCCCCTTTTGCCTTCAGAACTGCCTTAATCCTTTATGGCATACATTCAACAAGGTACTAGAAATACTTCTCCAAGATTTTGGTCCATATTGACTTGATAGACATGTGGATTTGTCAACTGCACATCCATGATGCGAATCTCCAGATCCACCACATCCCAAAGGTGCTCTATTGGATTGAGCTCTGGTGAATGTGGAGGCCATTTGAGTACAGTAAACTCATTGTCATTTGCAAGAAACCAGTCTGAGATTATTTGCGCTTTATGACATGATGCGTTATTCTGCTGGAAGTAGCCATCAGAAGATTATAAGAGATGGACATGTTCAGCAACAATACTCAGGTAGTCTGTGGCATTGACACAATGCAATTGGTACAAATAGGGCCCAAAGTGTGCCAAGAAAAAATCCCCCACACCATAACACCACCACCACCAGCCTGAACCTTTATTCAAGGCAGGATGGATTCATGCTTTCATTTTGTTGACGCCAAATTCTGACTCTACCATCTGAATATTGTAGCAGAAATCGAGACTCATCAGAGCAGGCAACACTTTTTCAGTCTTCCATTGTTTAATTTTGGTATCCCTGTGCGACTTGTAGCCTAAGTTTTCTGTTCTTAGCTGACAGCAGTGCCACCAGGTGTGGTCTTCTGCTGCTGTAGCCCATCCACCTCAAGGTTGGACGTGTTGTGCGTTCAGAGATGCTCTTCTGCATACCTCAGTTGCATCAAATGGCTAACTGAGTTACTACTGTCTCTCTATCAGCTTGAACCAGTCTGGCCATTCTCCTCTGACCTCTGGCATCAACAAGGCATCTACGCCCACAGAACTGCTGCTTTCTGGATATTTTCTCTTATTCAGACCATTCTGTTTAAACCCTAGAGACGGTTGTGTGTGAAAATCCCAGTAGATTAGCAATTTCTGAAATACTTAGGCTCAGTCTGGCACCAACAACGTTTAAAGTCACTTAAATCCCTATTCTTCCTCATTCTGATGCTCAGTTTGAGCTGCAGCAGATCGTCTTGACAGTGTCTGCATGCCTAAATGCATTGATTTGCTGCGCTGTGATTCGCAGATTAGAAGTTTGCTTTAACAAGCAGTTAAACAGCTGTACCTAATAAAGTGGCCGGTAATTGTATTACAGTGTACAGTAGTAAGTGAGCTACTAATATTCCATAGCCATCATATTCTGTAAAGAAACATTTTTAAAAAGTTCCTCAAAGGAGTAAAAGTTATTTGTTTGACCTGTTTTTAGGCTCTTAACAAGGATGAGCGTCCACCAGGAGAAGTGAAGGAGGGAGTAAAGACAGAGGCCTCGAAATAGCAGACAAAAGGTCAGCAAAATTTGAGAACACTTCCAGCTCATATTCATGAAGTGATCTGCTGTTTCATTTAATGCAGCGAGAGCAGATGACTCAATGTGTTTTCATCTGTTCACAGAAAAGATCTACTGTCTATTGCCAATATCTGGAACCAAACATGAAGTGAACAACATAACGGAGGATGTCTGAACACTGTTCTTACATGAAATCATGATTTTTTTCATTTCTGATCATTCAGAGGATTGCTTAAATTTTTGGGTTTTAATTCGAGTACAGTTTATTTTATAATATCACATTTCTGTGTTGTCTTTTATGCTTCACATGTGGTGGTCTTTCTGTTTTTTCCCCCCAATTTATCAGTGCAAAACATCCATTTATATAACTGATGAAAAGTATCACATTAAGCTGTGGGGATGATAGTAATGTACTTGACAGTCTTCCATTAAAAATAATATAATACAAATGAACTTGCCACTCAGTTGGCTGTTATTTTCATATTTTCCTCATTACACACTCAAACAATTAAACTAATGACCCAAATCTCCTTTGTTTTTAAGAGGTTAGTCTAGCAGGGAGGTGTTGTTGGTTAATGTCATTTCGTGCAATTATTCAACCATTGTTTGATTTCTCACGTGAGCTGGCAGGAGGAAGCGCTCGTGAACGCGCACATGGTATGAAGTCACTCGTATTTGCGAGTCGGCTCCTTTGAACAGATTGTTTTTAGGAGCCTGTTAAAAACGATGCAGTGGATCTCTTACGCCATGACGTATTTACGTCGCCTCAGCGTTTCTAGCGATTTAGTACAACCACGTTGTCTAGTTTGGTCTTAACTACCTATTTTATTTAGTTCTTTTTAAATCAAATCATATGTACAAATTCAGCCACATTCAAAACCAGCTCTACGTGAGTTAGATATGGAAAGTGTCATTTTGCGAGGCTTTCTAAATTAATTTAGTCACAAAATGCGTTTCATGTATTATTAGAATACTTAAACATTGATCATTTACGTTGATAAAGCTCCAAACTAGTCTTTCAAGTTGTAAACAAATACCAAACATTGCTTAGTCGGATTCGTTCATCTGATTCGTTGAAAAGAGTCGACTCAATAGAACGACTCGTTCAAAAATCGGTCGTCGCTCAAACAGTTTTGTGGATGAGCGTGTGGCGGCTTTACTAACCTACTTCAGCTTGAACACCGTCTGCTTTTCATGATTTATCGGTCTGAAGTTCAACTGTTATCACCGTGATCTCCATCTTTCACTAACAAGTCGTTTATCTGCGACTTTGTCACTGAAGCAGGTAAGTTTTTTTGTTCCTGTTGGACTCGGGAGTTGATCTGACGGTTTTAAATGGCTGAACAGCTGTTAAATGATGAGCTTTAAAGCTCTTTAAAGTGGTCGCTTAACGGCGTGAGAGGGAATTTCCCACTACTATCAAACTAATTAAGCTAATGGAATTGGCAAAACTGCGGTTTTCGGTTGTCTCTCATACAAATAAACAATTAATCACGGGTGGGTGGTTGTTTCTTTGAGTCTGTGGTGACCCAGCACCTCTGGCTTTGTGTTTTGCTGTGCACACATCACAATGAGAGGCTTTTAAAACGAGCTTTGTAACTACAAGCTTTATAACGAGGAAAGTTGATTCAATTTAGGAAGTGAGCCTCATGACTGCAGCCATAGAGTTTATTCATAGATTTAATATTCATTCTGACAAACGGGTGCTGTTGTGCGTACATCTACAGTATGTGTTTGTCAATTTATTAGTCTCCACCCTCATCAAATATATGGCATGATTAGCAGTTTGCCTCGATTTGTCGACTGCACATGCAAGCATGTAAGTAGTTTTAGATTTTAAAGTAATTAGCCATTAAATTATTACCAAATAAACTTATCTTTTGTATTCAAACGACTGCAAAATATGACTGTAACTTGACATTGAAACGCACATTTTCAGTAATGGGATAGTTTACATAAAACTGAAAATTCTATCATCATTTACTCTCTTCAATTGTTCAAAACCTGTTTAAGTTGCTTTTTTCTGTTGAACACAAAAGAAGATACTTTTGAAGAAAGCTGAAAGGAAACCTGTGACCATTGACTCCCATAGTATTTGTTTTTCCTACCATGGATGTCAGTGATTATCGCTTTCTTTAAAATATCTTCTCTTGTGTTGTACAGAAGAAACTCATAAAGGTTTGGAACCATTCAGAGGAGAGTAAATATTGAGGTAAAGTTAGTTTTATATTCACACATTCATTCATTTTTGGACAATGACAACTTGTGTTTACCATGCAACTTTGAATATTCAGTGTAAAATCTCATGCAAGTATGACTTCAAAGTTCAAAACAAACAGTATGTGAACAATGTTGTGCTTTGATAGCCATTGGCTGCTAATATGATTTTCTTATTTAAAATTGGCAAACAATACTTTATGAAATAATTTTGTTAAAAAGAAACAGAATGTGCAAATATAAGAGCAACTTTACCTCAATATTAATGAGTACATTTTTATTTTTGTGTTAACTATCCATTTATCTTAACATGGTGCAATGCAATTTATAAACATTTTAAATATACAAGGTATCTTACTGAATGCTTGAGAAAAGGCTAAAGGTACTCACTTCATAAAATGATTCTTGTAATTTATAAACTCACCAGCCACTTTATTAGGTACAACTGTCCAACTGCTTAAGTAAATATCCAGTGAACAGCAGTTCTGTGGGTGCAAATGCCTTGTTGATGCCAGAAGAGAATAGTCAGACTGGTTTGAGCTGATAGAAAGGCAACAGTAACGCAAATAAACACTCGTTACAACCAAGGTATGCAGAAGACCATCGCTGAACAACATGTCCAACCTTGAGGTGGATGGGCTATAGCAGCAGAAGACCACACCAGGTGCCACTCCTGTCAACTAAGAACAGGAAACTGAAGCTACAATTCGCACAGGCTCACCAAAGTTGGACAATAGAAGGTTAGAAAAACATTCAGGTGGTAGGGTCAGAACTTGGCGTCAACAAATTGAATGCATGGATCCATCCTCTTCTGTGGAAATGGTTCAGGCTGCTGGTGGTGTAATGGTGTGGGAGATATTTTCTTGGCACACTTTGGGCCCATTAGTACCAATTGAGCATTGTGTCAACACCACAGCCTCCCTGAGTATTGTTGCTGACCGTAACCATCGCTTCATGACCACAGTGTACCCATCTTCTGATGGCTACTTCCAGTAGGATAACACACCCTGTCATAAAGCATGAATCATCTCAGACTAGTTTCTTGAACATGACAATGAGTTCACTGTACTCTTATGGTCTCCACAGTCACCTGAACTCAATCCAATAGAGCACCTTTGGCATGTGGTGGAACAGGAGATTTGCATCATGGATGTGCAGCCGACAAATCTGCAGCAACTGTGTGATACTATCATGTCAATATTGACTAAAATCTCTGAGTTATATTTCCAGTACCTTGTTGAATCTATGCCATGAAGGATTAAGGCAGTTCTGAAGGCAAAAGTGGGTCCAGCCTGTTAAAAGTATGGTGTACCTAATAAAGTGGCCGGTGAGTGTAGTTTTAATTGATGAAGTATTTGTAAAACTTATTCATGCACTTGTTTTTGCTTCTGTACCCATTTATACATCCAGTATTAGTAGGCGTCAGTGTGAATATAACTGTACACACGATATGTCTGCTTCACCAGTGAAGGTTATTCACATTTAATAGTTAATGTTTAAGCAGAAGTTTACTCAGGAAGACATTGTCAATTTCACAAAGGACAAATTTGTAAAAACCCACAGCTGCAACACGTTTTATTGCTGAAATGAGTAAATAGTGTTTATTTTGCTTCATATAGGTGTTTGTTTCAACGCAAGTATGACTTTCCCCGTGACTAGCACTGCATCGATTGGTAAGTCGTGCACCTTTTCATCCATTATAAACATAAACATCTTTTAATAATTTAAAAAAAGTTAACCTTACAGGCATAGGGTGTGTCGCTCATATCAAATAATCAATGCAAACACAATGAAACATGATCTTGGCACCAACACTTTTTTTCATATATGTAAGCTAGTCTATCTTGAGCGATAGTGTGGTCTAGAAATGTGTCACTGGAAGCCAGACTGAAGCCATTATTAAAATGCACACGCAGTTAATGCCTAACATGCATTTCTTCTAATCTGGTTACTCTTCAACAATGCTGAACAGTTTCTCCAGCTGGAAATGGTTGTAATTCCACATTTTTTTATTGCCTGTGATCTTGACATACAGGTTTTGTGTGTCATCTTCAAGTGTTTTTATTTTGTGCTACAGGGACGGGCGTTACAGCAGGAACAACTGCAGTTCCACCACAAACAGACATGACCGTCATTGGAGGTAATTGACTTCCAGTGTATTAGTCTAGTTTTTTAATATAAGACTTGTCAGTGCATGGTACCGCGGTTTAGTTTAGACTAAAGCCACTGAGGTGTCTTAATAACTAGGCATCATATTAAACAAGCTTTATTTATGTTATTTTGTAATTGGCGTAATATCAAGTTGACAAAATATAATGTTTACATCTTTGGACTTGGAATTCTGTATTTCTGAATACATAACAAAGGTCAGGTGATGGGTCATTGCCTTCAGACAGAGTTTACAAATTATGAGTTGTAGGAGGACGTGAATGGTTTGTGCTAGTTGTAATTTTATGATCGGGAAGGCTGTAGAGGAGTGGTGGAAGAGACCAGCGCTCTACATGGGCCGCCGGAAGAAGTAATTATATAACCACTGTAGTTACAAGATGGTGCGAGTGCAGCTATGCTCCCTGGCCTCTTTATTAGATATACCTGCTCAACTTATTTATGTTAATATACATACTCACCGGCCACTATATTAGATACACCTTATTAGTACTACTCCCTTTTGCCTTCAGAGCTGCCTTAATCCTTTGTGGCATAGATTTAACAAGGTACTTAAGAGATTTTGATCCATATTGACCTGATAGCATCACAGTTGCTTCAGATTTGTCGGCTGCACATCCATAATGCAAATCTCCCGTTCCACCACAACTCAAAGGTGCTCTATTGGATTGAGTCTGGTAACTGTGGAGGCCATTTGAATACAGTGTAGTCTCAGTTTTCTGTTCTTAGCTGACAGGAGTGGCACCTGATGTGGTCTTCTGTTCCTGTAGCCCATCTCCCTCAAGGTCCGACATGTTGTGCGTTCAGAGATGCTCTTCTGCATACCTCAGTTGTAACAAGTGGTTATTGACTTACTGTTGCCTTTCTATCAGCTCAAACCAGTCTGGCTATTCTCCTCTGATGTCAACAAGGCATTTGCGGCCACAGAACTGCTGCTCACTGGATATTTTCTCTTTTTCAGACCATTCTCTGTAAACCCTAGATATGGTGGAGAATGAAAATCCCAGTAAATCAGCAGTTCTGAAATACTCAGACCAGTCCGTCTGGCACCAACAACCATGCCACGTCCAAAGTCACGGTCTGATGCTCGGTTTGAACTATAGCAGAACATCTTGACCATGTCTACATGCCTAAACGCCTTAAGTTGCTGCCATGTGATTGGATGATTAGAAAGTTGCATTAACAAGCTGTTAAAAAGGTGTACCTAATAAAGTGGCCGGTGAGTGTATATAAGCAGTTATTGCAGTAACTCTAGACATGGTCAAAAGACCTCAATCTTGTTTTTTGCAACCCCATGCTAGGCATAGTTTGTATGCTTTTCTTAAAACTTGGATTGTCTAATAGATGTCCAAGAATAGCCCAAAAATAGTCTTCTACAATGAATGGCTACACATTTGAGATGCCTGTTTAATGTGTGTATTTGATGACTAGTCAATCGTCTATTGAATTTTCAGCCATTCTATGTTTAGATGTGTATTTGACATCTATTAATCGATGTTAGATATTTCTCTATAGATGTTAAATAATAGATTTGATTTCTTAATAGATGTCTATTTGACATATATTTAAAAACTAAATGTATTGGTGGGTTAGTTTTGAGCAAACAAACCCAAAGCAGTGCACTTAGGAGTGTTTTAATTGTGTCAGAGATTTCACTTTGCTCACAGTTGATTGGTTGGATCTTGAATGCGATCTCTAAACCAGGGGTCCGTTCTTCGTACCTCGCTTAAATGATCTAAGATTATTTGGCAGATCCTGGATCTTTTAATCTTGATAACTGATCTCTCGCTAATTTGGTTCTTCAAACAAGTTCGCGAATCAGATTAGAATGTCTGGATGAACTGATCTGAAAAGGCTGCGTGTGTTGTGAAGGACAGATTTATCGATCCTCGAAATCATGATCAGCAATGCAACGATTGGCTGATGGCACAGCAGCGTAATGACATCATCTGATTAATATTCAATTATCCATTTGAGCAAAATTACATCAAATTAGCAGTAAACCGTTTGTTAAATATGACATGCAATAACTTTTCACATATGTTGTGAGCTGCAGGCTTTACACTTTCATGTGTCAAGAGTTCCTCATGTATTTCAATGCAAATCAGTGTATCTAGTTGTACATTTAGAAAAGATTTTCTTTATCGTAGTAGCCGTTTTTTAATCGGTGTAAAGAATAACTTGTTGTTTACAAAAGCATTTTGATATTGGTAAAGGCGTCTGCAACTTTTGTGAAGCATCAAATCACTGGCGTATTAACTATTAAAACATGTTTATGTCAGCATAAATGTATTACTGCTTTTTTTTAAAAAGTCACATATTGTGCATTTCTATTATACACAATTTGTACTAAAGCGATCTAAAAAGTTCGTATTAAGTTTTCTCTTTGCACCAGCAGGTGGCAGTCTTTGTACTTTCATTTCGAGGGTGCAGATTGCATAAGTTTTATTAATATGTATAACTTTATTTATTTTATTAATAACTATAACTTTATATATATATATGTATATATATATATATATATATATATATATATATATATATATATATATATAGTTAAAAATATTTACTATTTTCCCAAGTGTATATAACTACTACTGTAAGGAAATATCAGAATTCGGTACATACTTTCTGTATTATCTTTGCTTGAACTGAGCCGATCTAATCCTGTTTATATGAATTGAACCTGCTCCCGATCAGGTTTGACCTAGCAGAACTGTAGCTATGACAACAACTCTCGGATCAGCTTTGAAGAACGAAATGATCCTGGATCGTGTCAAATCGTCAATATCCAAAACCAGCTAACTGAGTAATCCACGTACGAAGAACAGACCCCAGAACATAACCTAATCCAAAGCAGGCTAGCCATGAAGCATAAGGCAATGTTTCCCAACCCTGTCCCTAAAGGCAACCAGCAGTACAGATTTCTCAGGAATGTTTCCAGCACCTTCTTGAATCAACAACTAACCTAATAAAGTGGCCAGTGGGTTTTTGCATTGCACATTACCAGAAAGCTTTAATAGGGATAGCATCAGATTTGTAGGGTATAGTACACTGTGTTCACCAGCAGGTGTCATGATGAGGCTACATATTGGATTAAATCTCTGTTGAGAAATATGTGGTTAATTTTATAATAATTGCTTTAGTTTGTTTTTTTTAGTGGTCATCGCCCTGATCCTGCTGACCCTTGTCGTCGTTGGGGTTCTGCTGTACAGATACCTGTGTCACAGTAAGGGGGTTTACCGAACCGCAGGTGAACCCGCTCCAGGAGTGGACCCAGACCAGGTCTACAATGACACCGTCACCGAAAACAAGAAGGAATATTTCATCTGAACCATTCAGCATCAGGATGGATTTAACCAATGATCAAAACGCATGGACGGCTGCAGACATCTGAATATGTCCATGTAGAGAGGTTTATATGCAAGGCGTTTGGGGTGTAAACCACTAGTCTGTGCTTTATGGATGAATGTTTTGTTGAAGGGATACCATTTGAGTTTTATGTTAGAAGGATGAGGCAGATGTAAAAGCAGGCTTTATTCATGACGTCAATAAGCTCAGCATCAGTTTTGGTATGGTAAAGTTACTGGGACAATCTTTTTTTTTTTTTTTCGTCAGTCTGTTTAAATAGTCCACTACAAGCATTATAAGTACTACTTCAGCAGAAATAGTAAGGTCACATACATTGGAGTTATTATCAATTACGAGTTCAGCTAGCTGCACCTCAATGAAATGCTAAACATTGCAGGCACTGTACATTTAATTAGTTTTTATGCAGTCATGTGGCATTTCTTTATGCATTTTTTCCCTTTTATCATTTAGAATGGATTTTTTAAAAGATAATATATAAATCGCAAGATTTTTTTAGATTGTGAAAAGTTGGAGAATACAGTCACAGTGCCTTGTTAACTTTTTAAATTCACTTTTTTATTAATATTTTTATTATTATTTTGTAACATGGTGCCAAATATAATAATTACCTCTCATTTTTTGTTAAACCAACAAACAAACAGGCTGATCATACTGTCAAATGCATATATGATGTGTTTTGTGCAGGGTTACAATATTATGTTCCTTGTTATGAAAATGAATGTAATTTATATCGGATTCTGAGTCCAATTATTATTCTTTTTTACTGCGGTTAAACAATTCACTTCCATTTGGACACAAGACAAAAATGCAAAACATGAACTCAACACAAATGTTCAAAATTCAAAATAGCTTTTATTCTAAATTTTGTTTTATACTTAAGGTTTAGTATAAAAAAAGTTAAGTGCACCACATTTTTTTTTCATTGGAGATCTTGTTGTCATGTAGCAAACTAGGAAGGACCTTGGTTCCTTGATGCTGCAGTATGCATCCATTATAACCCATCACAATTTTTTTGATTATATATTTATATTTATATATATAGAAAAAAAATGAAAGGGTTCCCTGAACTGTAGTGCCCACAAAGACGTATACCATCTGTGACTGTCATGGTATTGAGGCTCAAGATAAGCAGTGTATCCGCTACATTGCATACACAAACACACGGTGGCACATGCCATGATAAAAATGCTGCGCTAATATTGAAATGGATATTAGGTTCTGAAGGCTTTGCCCTCATGTTTATTTATTAATTTTTGCTTATGTTGATTTCAAAGCAAAGTAAAAAATGAAAAAGGAATGCCAATGCTAGGCATTGATAAACTATCAGCTCAAAGGTTTTAAACTACAATGACAGAAAATTATATGAATGATGCTAAGGCAATGCCTGCATACATGGCATGTTTGTAAAAATTGTCAAAGAAAATGTTTTGCTTTAACAACAGAAGGGCAAAACCTTTAGAACTACAGTGTCGGATACCCAGTGGTGCACTTCATATATGTAAAGCCTAAAAATGATCCCCTGTGATTTTGAATTCAGTCAGAAAACAATACATGTGCACGCAAAATAAGCTTGTGTGAGCAAAACAAGCAGCATTTTAGAGTACAGTAACGTCTAATACAACTAACCTCTACTGAACCTATGTGTTTAAAAGCTGCTTTCTAGATCAGTGTTTCTCAACCACGTTCCTGGAGGACCACCAACACTGCATGTTTTGGATGTCTTAGCCATTACAGGTCTTTCAGTCTCTGCTAATGTGCTGCTGATCTGATTCAGGTGTTTGGTTAAGGCGACATGGAAAGTGTGCAGAGCTGGTGGTCGCCCAGAAACGTGGTTGAGAAACACTGTTCTAGATGATTGGTCTCAGATTGGATTCCTGCAGGGCCGCAGCTCTGCACAGTTTTGCTCCAACCTTAATCAAACACAGATGATCTGACTAATTAAGGTGTTCAAGACTACTGGAGACTATTAAGCAGGTGTGATTTTGAGGTGGTTGGAGCTAAACTATGCAGAGCTGCGGCCCTCCAGGAATTGAGTTTGAGTCCATTGTTCTAGATCAGGAGTGCTCAAATTCGGTCCTGGAGGGCCAGTGTCCTGCACATTTAAGTTCCAACCCCAATCAGACACACCCGGGCTAGCTAATCAAGCTCTTAATAGGCTTTCTAGAAACATCCTTGCAGGTGTGTTGAAGCAAGTTGGAGCTAAACTCTGCAGGACATCGGCCCTCTAGGATTGAGTTTGGGCATCTCTGTTCAAGATGAAACAAATTCAATGGGCACAAATTGGTGGAGCTAACCGCTGGTGGAACTCAGTGCATTCTGTGAGGTTTCTTTCTTTCCGTTGTTGGTTATTTTTGCAAAATCACATTACGAATGAGAGAAGAAATCTTTAATCCCTTGTGAAACATGTACAAATTAACAGCACAATTTCTCCGCAAAACATTTATGCTACCACGTACTACTACCAAGCGCTGCTTTTGAGAAACATCAACGCAGCAAGTTGAACCCACGTCCTATTTGTATTTAAAAGCATATGTACAAAAAGAAACATTTCAGAATCGGTTGACAGTGCACATAAATTAATTGTGTAGTACTTCTAAAAAAAACTTAACAATGAAAACTCTTTATTAAGAACAAAACTACTGAAAAGTGCATGCAGAAACATCAAGATGCAACCAAGAAACATTTTTTTTTTATAATCTTTTCTTTCTTTTTTTTTAAACACACCCTACCAAATGCAGTCAAAGCAGTGGTGTGCTCTGCCCGGACCTCCGCAAAGCCGTTGCCTAAATATGATATGTTGAATTATTTCAGGATGAAACTGTGTGCAGATGTACTATGACAGAAGACATACAAAAAGCAAAACAAGCTTTTAGTGCATTCTAGTCCAGATCTTTGGTACAAGCAGCTTCCCCACAATAAAAAAAACAATAATAATGCTTGATGTGCCAAAATACTGAAAAATAATAAAAAGTCTCTTGATTATAAGCCCTGACCTCTGTAAACAACCTTATTTTGCGTAAAATACGAAAGAAAAACCCTAAAAAAAATCTGTGAGAAGCACATAGAGCTGGAACACACGCCGAACTAAGTGAAACTGCTGTATGTACAGCTCTGGGTATCCGACAAAGGAGGGAAAATATTGAAGAAACCACAAAAAAAAAAAGAAAGAAATCCAACTTTTCTGAACCGGTTTTGTTGATCTTGTTCGCACTCTCTTGTACTGCATTTAGGTTCATTCATATTTAAATTCCTTAGCTTTTAAATAATGGTGCAATTTTGGCACCTGATAACATTTATATAAGCTTGCCCAAAGGTACAATACACCACTGTTGTTGTTGTTTCAGTTTGTAAACACATCTTTCTCTTTGATTTAGACGGCTTAAATTCGCATTTGACATATCTGGCAAGACCGTAATAATGATATGAATGAGCATGGATAAGCGTACTATTCAAAGAGAAAGGTTTGAGTGCATAGCTACTTTACACAGATGATCAAACTGACCGGGCAGTTTTCTTGGCATGATCTCTGGCTCTAAAACCAAAACAAAAGTAGTACTGTTAAAAAAAATGAAGCTGCAAGAGGTATGCCAGTTCCGCTAAAGGTAAAAATGACCTGGTTTTCACCTTAAAAGTCGTCTTCCCTCTATAACCAATAATTAAACGACACGTATGAGCAAACCTACAATTACCATGCGCTTTTTTAATTGTGAATACGCATTACACATTATATAATTGCAATATTACACAATCATATCAACAGTGGCGCATTGTACCTCGAGTAAGGGGCTCTAAAATATTACATTCCATTAGATTAAATCAGTATTGTGGCTTAGCCAAGCAGCCCCAAAGGAGGCAGGGGGGTGGGAGAACAGGTAAAGGGAACCAGGGGGTGGGGAGGAAGGAAGGAGGGCTTCGGTCCAGGCCCAGAGGGGTGTTCACTGTTACCAGATGGTGTAACCACCGCTGGAGCCACCCATGAAAAAGTTGCCCTTGCGCTGTGTCATCACGACATTTGCACCCTGCATGGCTGCCATCTGAGCCGCGTTAGGGAGGTGTCCGGGAGGTGGAGGCTTCAAAAGAGAGAAAAAGATGGACATTTTATATACACAATTCATTTTCAGTCACATACATGCCAGGGGAAAAGGTCATAGCAGTGCATTTGCATCTATTTGTCTCAGTTGTGCAAAATACAGTTTTCATGGATTTCTAAAATTGTCCATTTTGGATGGTAGACTTTGAGAGGTGACATTTTCAAGGTAGACCGAAACCAGCAAAATTCATAAGACCTTCAAATAGAGCCAGTGTTTCTCAACCACGTTCCTGGAGGACCACCATCTCTGCACATTTTCCATGTAACCAAACACACCTGAATCAGATCATCAGCTCATTAGCAGAGACTGAAATACCTGTAATAGATGTGACAGAGAAAGGAGACATCCAAAACGTAGTGTTGGTGAGCCTCCAGGAACATGGTTGAGAAACACTGAAACACACTGAACCAGGAATTTTCAATTTACTGATTTAATGATGACTAAAATGGCTAGAAAAGTGGAATACATCACTTTGTACCAAACTAATCTGTAAACACGTTTGGCATAGCCCCTTCTTTCAATTCTATTATGAAATTATAGTAGGAGATTGCAGATTTGTTCTATTTTGTCACTCAATTTTTAACACTGACATTTGTCAAACATTCATCAGAAATAGTCAATAAATTTAGCATTCACTTCAAATGAATACTAATTAATGATCAGTTGACGCCCTACAGGTTGAAAGCTTCTTGCATATCACGATTTCACTTTTTTATAGGACTCAAAATGTGGGAAATCATACTATTATTATGGCTAACATTAATGTAATGTATGTAAAAGTAATAATTGTACAACTTATATTTACATAATGATATAATCAACTGATAACAGGTCAATATAATACATTCCATGATTTCACACCTTAAGTAATAATAAAAAAATTTAAAAAACGAGTACCGATTCTGATGCTTCAAGCTTTATAATGCATAAAGCACAGCATTTCACCTCCAAGTATGTTACAAGTATGAGAGCTCTCCTAAGAGCAGGGGTGTCCAAAGTCGGTCCTGGAGGGCTGGTGTCCTGCTGACTTTAGCTCCAACATGCTTCAACACACCTGCCTGGAAGTTTCTACTATACCTTGCAAGAGCTTGATTAGCTTGTTCAGGTGTGTTTGATTAGGGTTGGAGCTATACTCTCCAGGACACCGGCCCTCCAGGACCGAGTGTGGACACCCCTGCCGAAGAGAATAAATAAAGGATGTTGCACATATAACCCTAAACATGTCTCTTATAGCCGTTTAGTGTGAACATGTCAAGGCCAGAAGCAGCTTCATAGAAAAATAATAGATAAAAAAAATTGTTAAGAAAATTGACTATCAAAACAATGCAAATGACGGAAGAATTCAACACCTCTCAACGAAGAAAGGTTTGGAGTGCATATTTGATGCATAAGTTAAAATGCACACCTATAATTCTATACATCTCTAAAGGTCTAAAAACATGGAATATTTCATATTGATTTTATCTGAAGTCACGATATCAGCAGCTTACACTCATTTGTGGCAAACCTTCATGTCGTTTTCGGGTCAAATCTGACCGATTTACAATTTAAAACACTCATAAAAATTGTGTTTTACATCTGATTGCCTCGAGGCTTTATGATATCCTTCACACTATGTACTTGAACATATAGTGATGATCCCCTCTTTCATTTTCATTCAATTTTGAGTGTTTTAATCAATTTTGTTACACCTGTGGTGTTCCTGGTCAAAAGTAACCGCCATATGAAATGAATGGGTCTTCAGATTGGATTCATCTATCAGATAGAAAACACCCACCCCATCTCAATCACTTACTCACTCACACACTTATTTTAGACTGATTTTTGTTTTGTTTTTGTGAGCTCATTTAAGAGCAGTTAGAAGCAGAATGGTCAATTTTGACCAGGAACACAACAGTAGGGTTAAAAGTATCTACTTTTTTATAGTGCAGTATTTAAATGTAAAGTGTTTATGTTTTAATCCAACCTCTTCTTTTTTGATTTAATTGCAAGTGTAAAAGATGTCATTTTCTAAATTGTTGACATGTTAAATTGTACATCATGCTTTGTCAAATGCCTCAAGATATCAAAACTTACACCTGTGACTAGTAGTAAAATTCAAAATCTCGAGAGAAAGTTATGAATTCATTGCCATATCAGCTTCATTTTAGAAATTTCACTTTTCTATAATACACAAACAATAAAAAGGACATCACAGTAATAAATAATAATAAAATAATTTTAAAAAATTAGATTTAAAAAAATCATTTTGAGATTTACTTTTGATAAAAATTCTAGTATTTTTTGAAGGATTCCCATTTAAAAATATTCCCTTTAAAGTCTCGCCACATATTTTATTTATTTATTGCCACATCAGCAATTTGTGGCAATTTCATGGCAAAGTCAATATACATAAAAACATCATATAGGACTTGATACACAAACAAATATATAAATAAATACAATTCACAATAACTGTTTATTAAAAGTTAAATATGATTTTATAAATAACTTCATCATGATGAAACTTTTTATTGAACATCTTTCAAAGTGTTTTCTTTATAAAATCTTGTCCTTAAACATTCACAATCTAATATGATGTGTTTTATGGTGAGAGCAGCTTGACAGTAATTACATGTTGGTGGAGATAAAAATAAGGATAAAAATCATTGACTGATAAAATTAAAAATAAAGCATTTCCATAGTATGTTTTAAATTATCCTTTGAGTAAATGTCTATGAGTGAGTCCTGAGCGTCTGATATGGCATCTTGTGTAAACAACCTCATCATGTCTTTTCATGTCATTCAGATTTCTTCAGATTTCTAAAAGTTTTCATCATTGTGACCCTCAAGCATAAACTGAGCTTGACTAATATAATGGAAATCTCATTTGGCTGATAAAACACATCATGTTTAGGGGACATATACTCACCGGAATGGAACTACCAGTGCCAGGCCCGAAGCGAGCTCCAGCATCAAATCCACCATCCACCATGACAGTGGAGCCAGGAGGGTACACGGGCCCCATCGGATAATACGCCATCGGGACACTAGAAGCCATGGCCCCCATTGGCACAGTCTGGGCATGCATGGGCATGTACATCTGAGTACCAGGGTAAGCAGAGGTCATCTGGGGCATTTGTCCAGGGGCTGGAGGGGGAGCCATATATCTGGGCTGATAAACCTGCAGGTAGGAGAGAAAACTATTTCAAACATTTGTGTAGGTGATAACAAAAAGTGTATAATTCACACTTAATATCAAGACTTCAATTGTTTTAATTGAAGTTAATTAGACTAATGAAAGACAATGGCATTTTAAATCTTAGTTTTGATTGTTTAGAGCAGAGGTGCCTAAAGTAGGGCCAAAGTTGGCCAATGGTAACCTTTGGTTTAGCCCCATCATCCCATCTGAACAGTAATGACGGTGAGTTGGTTGGGGTGAATGCCTTAGTTTCTTTGTTTAATTGAGTAGCTACCAAAAAAAAAGCCAACTAAAATGAAATGTTTCATATAAATGTTGTAAATGAATCAGACTTTTACTGCCACTTGACAGATAAAAGACAATGCACAAGACATCGGCAAGCAAATCAAGACAAAGGCCGAAGTAGCTCCACTAGTGTATTCAGCATTGAACACCATTGTCTAATAACTGGGATTGTTTGTTTTAACTGTAATAAGTTTATTATAACATGTTAAATCTGATACTGCATGTTTAAAAATGTTTAAAAGCAATGTTTTATTTTTATTTTTAAATATTAGCAAATCAATTAGGAAGTTTTCCATGGCAAATGTAATGTAATACAGTTTGGTATTTTTAACTTCGACCCACAGCCCTCACACCCCATTTACACGGGGCGTCAGCTGCAACGCTTCCCATTCACTTTGAATTAAGTAACATCAGGTGTTGCCGAACTGCATTGTGGACTCTTCGCTCAACATTTCAAGTGCCGACGGAAGCCTTAGCCAATCAGATCGCTGTATGCAAATACACCAGTTTAGACAGTGGCCTATTGCTGACTAATTTCATTGGCTGACGCTGCTATGATGATCGCATCAGCCCCAACTTCAGACACACCCTCTGTCAAGCGTTGACGCTGAAGCCCTGTGTGAATGGGGCATCAGTCAAGGTTTTGGGCCTTTTATAAGAAAAGTGTGTTTAAGCACCTCTGGTTAAGAGTTTAGTGCCTGCCATGACTATTAATTTTTAGAAATATCTAAATTAAATAAATAAATAAAACAAACAAATAAAGATCTGGTGTCACTAGGCATGGGACATTAACCGTTTTCAACGTTTACCGCAGTTTGGTAGACACCGTCAATTTTTTGCTATACCGTTCCTAAGGTATTTGTATGATTTTTTTATTTATATATATATAAATATATATATATATATTTTTTTTAGAACAACCATATCTCCAGCAGAAAAGATGTCCAACGTTGCTATTTTAAATGGTTAAAAAAATCAGTGTTTTGAAACAATTGAAGACAGCAGAGGTCAAGGATTCATTTAAACTATTCAGTCTGACATGTTTACTGCTCCAAAATATTAAGTGTTTCTCAAAATACCATATATTGTGTTCAAAGGGGAACCCAAACATTTAAAAGAATATATTTTAAAGCAGTAATGTCAATACCGTATTACAGTAAAACCGTGATATTTTTATCCAAGGTTATCAAACCGCCAGAATCTTATACCGGCCCATGCCTAGGCGTCACTTGATTAAAAATCACCTGAAAAACAAAAATGCCTAAATAAGATGTCCCAATCCCTCAAAATATACCCATATTTACTCATTTACATTTAAAAGTAAATTCATACCTCTTGATATTATGCATCACTCATGTACTGAGAACTGTAATGTAATGTGTTTTTTATTTAACGCCATGTTAGCAGCCAAGTCTATTTTCATGGCAAGAACATTTCAATAATAAATTTACAATTAAAAATCAACAAACAAATGAATATATACATTAAATACATTTTTACTTGATAAAAATGTAACATTTTTCCTGGTGTCACTTTGCTAAAAACGTCCTTTAGAGATTTAAATACATAAAAAAGTCTTCGGGAATCAAGAGGAAAAATGTATTTGAATGTGAGAGGAATTGCAGTATAATATACTGCGGTACAAACATTGAGTAGGGTCTTCACCTTTAAGCAAAAAAGCATGGGTTATTCTTGTACAGTTAAAGTCAGAATTATTAGCCCCCCTGGATTATTAGCCCCCCTGTTTATTTCTTTCCCCAATTTCTGTTTAACGAAGAGAAGATTCTTTTTTAACACATTTCTAAACATAATAGTTTTAATATCTCATTTCTAATAACTGATTTATTTTATCTTTGCCATGATGACAGTTAACAATATTTGACTAGATATTTTTCAAGACACTTCTACACAGCTTAAAGTGACATTTAAAGGCTTAACTAGGTTAATTGGGTTAACTAGGCAGGTTAGGTTAATTAGGCAAGTTATTGTAAAACTATGGTTTATTCTGTAACTATCAACACAAAAATAAATAAATGGCTTATAGGGGCTAATAATATCGAAAATGGATTTTAACAAATTAAAAACTGCTTTGATTCTAGCCGAAATAAAACAATTAAGACTTTTTTCAGAGGAAAAAAATATTGAGACATGCTGTAAAAATTGCCTTGCTCCGTCAAACATCATTTAGAAAATATTTTTTGAAAAGATTAAAAATTAAAAGAGCTAATAATTCTGACTTCAACTGTATGTCCAATACGACATCTGGGAAAAATCACCAAATCTAGTCTTAAAACTCTGTTTGAGGTTTCAGGTTGTATTTTATACAATTGATTTGTTTATGCATCCCACACTTTACTGTGAACACAAACAATTTTACATTAAAAAATAGCATAAAAAAGATTTTTTAAATAATTATTCTGCACACACCTGTAAATATTAAGTAAATTGTAAGTTGCTTTAGACAAAGGCATCTGCCAAATGCCTAAATGTAATTAGTTAACAAATGAGATGATGCTGTGACATGCTACTGAACTGATAAACAGAAATTCAATTCTGCAGTTGTATAAAGTCTAAATTTATGATTAGTACAATGTATTCATCAATCATTGGTATTCATTACTATTTATTTTTAAATTTACAATTAAATGTTATTTTATCACTGCAGTTTTAAATTAAGGTTTTAGAAACAACTCATAATAAAATCGCTGTATTGACTTGCCCCTTTTTATCTGTTATAACTGTCTAGAATATCTCTTACCAATGGGAATTTGGCATTGACTAATTCTTTGCTAAATCTGCCCTTGTCCTTCTAAATGGCAGCTCTTGCATCACAGAAAATGATTCATCAAATCCAATATAAAAAAAAAGTATATTCATATAAAATCCAGGACACTTCATTAAAAGAAGACACTGAATCCTAAAAAAATGCTTCTAATATAACACTTGATTATAACGAGACATTGTTCTGTGAAGCCTTTCCTACTGCAACTCATTTACATAAGCAAAGAGAGAGAGAGAGTTAGTAGTGGTAACCTCGGAGTATGGAGGAGGGGCATCTGGATACTGAGACACCTGAGCAGGGACTTGCATAGCAGGCGGGTAAACGGGTGCTGTGCTCTGCTGAGGGTAAACAGCTTGTTGTGGATATGAACCTGCATGGATACCAAGCAAGCAGAGAAAATTAATATTGCAACAAATTCTGAAGTTGACTTACAGTAGATTCTGTCCAGCAACAAGAAGGTCATGTGCTAAAAAATATCAACCAAAAGGAGTAGAGCTTTTTCTATCATGAGAATTAAGGTTATTGTTGATACATTAAATGAAAACTATATCACAAATTCTTTTTGATATGAAAAATTATTGTTAACCGAAAGGAAATAAAAACCTACACGCATTGTATTAGAGCTAATTGCCAAAAAAAAAATAATTCATTTATTTAGTAAAATAACTAGAATTATCTTATTTATAAACATATTCATATTAGGGCTGTGCGATTTGGGGAAAATATCTCATTGCGATTTTTTTGAGGGAGAGATTTTGGGATTGCGATTTGATTTACGATTTAATTCAAGCTTTAACCTAATTTAATTTAATTTAAGCTTCAGCTCTAAAATTTGTAAGTCGTGGCAACAATTCTGCGACAGCTCTTAAAAATGACCTATTTTTGTTCTGTGTCTGTAACTTAAAATATTGTCATATTACAAATGCTGTTTTTCCTTGATGTTAAGTCGTCTAATATTGCTTCTGAAGCAGCAGACGCCATCCCACTTGTCAGCGCTTTCCTCTTTATTATTACTGTGGGCATAGTTCAGTTGTGCAATTCTGATTGGGCAGAACGAAAACGTGCTCTCACAATTGGCTAGTTATAAAGCAGCAGTCAGATCACACGATTTCGGCACGATTTCCTTGGCATACAGTGTTGTGGGAAGTCGTAAACAACAAATGGACGTCGTGACATGATTCAATCATGTAATGTGGCATAGTTCACGACAACTGATACCATATCTGCAACGCCTCAAGACTCCATCGCAGAAAGTCTAGCCTGTTTAATTTTCTGAAGCATAACATTTTTAAGATGTTATTCATTATTTTTGTTTACATATATATATTATGTTATATGCAACCTCTTGCGATTAACTAAACGCAACATTTCAAATTGCGATTCGATTAAATCGCACAGCCCTAATTCATATACATATTAATATAGATATACATGTCATTGAACCATTAATACACTACTATTATCTTACTATATATATCAACAATAATATATCATTATTATTAGATAGAAGGATGGACGGACGGACAGACAGATAATGGGTGTAAAAAAAAATTACTGAAGTTTCACCTTAAATATTTAAAAAATTTATTTAAAATTTGAATCTAAACTACAAAGATCTTAAAAATTCTAAATGAACACATAGATAGTCTTAAGATATTGTTTATTAAATAAAAAATACATCAATATACTATTAATAAGAAAATTGACAATGTTTAAATAGATATTATTTTAAATTGCATTTATAAACTGAATAATTTCATAAGTAAATAATTGCTTTATATATATATATATATATATATATATATATATATATATATATATATATGTGTGTGTGTGTGTGTGTGTGTGTGTGTGTGTGTGTGTGTGTGTGTGTAGACAGATCAGATAATTGTTTTCTTACTAGATAGATAGATAGATAGATAGATAGATAGATAGATAGATAGATAGATAGATAGATAGATAGATAATTGTTTACTTATACATATTAATAATATTATTATTATTATTTAGATAGATAGATGGATAGATAGATGGATAGATAGATAGATAGATAGATAGATAGATAGATAGATAGATAGATAGATAGATAGATAGATAGATGCGTGTAAACAAAATGATTGAAAGATATTATTAAGATTAATTTAAAATATTAATACAAACTACAAAAGATCTTAAAGATACTAAATGGAGACTAATAGACAGTCTTAACATATTCTGTTATAAATCTAAACAAATACATTAACCTACTATAAATAAGAAAATTGACAATATTAATAATAGATTTTACTTTAAATTGCATATATAAAACCATTAAGAGGTTAAGCAAGACAACAAAAAACTACATCCAAAATGGTACCGACAATAGAAAAATAAAACGCAATACCAGTCTTAACCGACAGCTAATTTTTCATAGGAAAAAATCCGTTCTTGAGCAAATACTTCACGATATACTCAAGTAACACATCTAAATTAGATTAATGAAATTATAAAACGGACGCTGTGAACGTCTTGCTCGCTTAATGAGGTCACCTTTCCAATCACGTCATCGCGCTGTAGCAGCCAAGCTAGTCACCCTTCACCTGTTTTTCATACAAAACACAACCGGGCCCGCTAAAATAACCCATCGCCCCGTCAAAAATCACACTCTCCGTCATGCGGCAGTCGATGTCAGATGTTTTTGGCCCACAGCCCGCAAAAGCTCAGCGCGTAAAGTCGTTTATGTAAGTCAAATATGCTGGCTAACTCCATTGGTAGTTGCTAGGAAGCGGCTAAGCAAAATAGCAGAGAAGAGCGGAGGTGATTGCGTATTTACCTTTGTTGTTCATTGTTGTTCACGGCAGATAAAATATTCTAGGGGACGAGAATACAAACAGACCGAATTCTGCAATTATATGACAATAAATATAAGGTTTGCTCAAAGTTCCTCGTCTTTATACTCGTTACTTCCTTGTTTTCGTCGGGCTACCCTTTGAGTATATTTGTGTTGGGGAGGAGCTACGTCACGCAAGCGTCATTTATTCGACGCCACTCCCTGTTAAAGAGAAACTCATGACTCGCGTTATGTCGAAAATGAAAGTGTCCGTGAGCACAACTTCGTGCTGTAAAAACTAACGCAGTGATCAGTAGAGGAAAGTTCTCTAATATATATATCACATTATGCGTATTTGTATGTAAAAGTGTTGTATTTGCATCATGTATGAAAGATATCACAGAGAGCATCTGGCATAGAAGCAATCATGTATATGAGTCAAAAGTCCAGTTACAAAACAGAGAGCATCAGTGCCCGCCTACTTTCAACCCATGAGGAATTTAAGAAAACAAGTCTTTGTTAAAACATAATCCATGAACAACCAACTGCAATGAGAATCACAATGTTATAAACTATGGAAGCAAAGGAGTGTGTATATATAGGCCTACATAGCTGTGGAACAAATCAAGAGACCAGTAGAAAATACTCTTAATTAGGGCTACTGGAGGCTTTATTATGGGTTTGAGTAAATTATTAAGGTCAGGTAACATTCATTCATTCATTTTCCTTTGACTTAGCCCCTTTATTCATCAGGGGTCAACTTATCTTATATGTTTTACATAGCGGATGCTCTTCCCGCTGCAACATAGTACTGGGAAACATCCATACACACTCATTCACACACATACACTTCGGACACTTTAGTTTATTCAATTCACCTGTACTGCATGTCTTTGGACTGTGAGGTAAACCGGAGCACCTGGAGGAAACCCACGCCAGCACATGCAAACTCCTCACAGAAATACCAACTGAATCAGCTGGGACGTAAACCAGTGACCTTCTTGCTGTGAAGCGAGAGTGATAACCACTGAGCCACTGCGCTGTCAGTCACATTTCTTCCAAATTTCAAATATAAAATAAAAAATCCAGAGAAATGCAGCAACTCTGACTGTTGTTGTGACTGAAAATCAGGGTTATTCCAATAAGATGCAGTTTAAATGTCTGAAAATGTCACCTCTTTTTGTTATTATATGCAAATATTAAGTGCTCTAAACAACAATATAAACATGAATAATTGTTTATAGTCTTCAAGTAAATGAAAGCTAAACTGGAAAATCTAATTGTACAAAAAAATTGTTAAATATTAGAGCTGGGATTTATCGCATCTAACATAAGTTTGTTTTGACATTATGCATGTGTGTGTATTATATATATATATATATATATATATATATATATATATATATATATATAGCTTAAAGGGGGGTTATAATTTTGACCTTTTATTTAAATTTAAAACTGCTTTTATTCTAGCCGAAATAAAACAAATAAGACTTACTCCAGAAGAAAAAACATTATCAGACATACTGTGATCATTTGGGAAATATTTAAAAAAGAAAAAAAATTCAACTGTTCTAAAGTTGAATTTTTACTGCAAATCTCACATTCATAACGCTGAAATTGCTTATATGTGATACACACACATAGAAACAAAACTATACAAAATAATTTTGTCACGTAGATATTTAAATTTACATATAATTTATATCATATACAAATAGGTTTGATATCTAAATATAAATAAACATTTTCTAAAATATATGCATGCCTGTGTGTATTTATTTATACATATTGAATATACACAGTTCACACGCTTATGTCAAGACAATCTTTTATTTTGAATGTGATTAATCATGATTATTTCCCAGTGATGGGTTGCAGCTGGAAGGGCATCCGCTGCGTAAATCATATGCTGGATAAGTTGGTGGTTCATTCCGCTGTGGCGACCCCAGATTAACAAAGGGACTAAGCTGAAAAGAAAATGTATGAATTATGGATTTTTGCATTAAAAAATACAGTTTCTATTATATTTTGTAGTCAGTACACTAATACCTGTTCAGGTCTTCTTTTTTTGTTTTATGTTTGCATTTATATAGTTATTTAATACTCTAATGATATTTTTTGTGAAAGAACCATATAGCTTGGCAACATGGTGGCTCAGTGGTTAGCACTGTCGTCTCCCAGCAAGATGGACACTGCTTCAAGTCTCGGTTGGGTCAATTGGCATTTCTGTGTGAGTTTGCATGTTCCCCACGTGTTTGCGTGGGTTTCCTCCGGGTGCTCTGGTTTCCCCCACAATACAAAGACATAAACTAAATTGGCCGTAATGTATGAGTGTGAATGTGAGAGTGTTTAGGTGTTTCCCAGTTTTGGGTTCCAGCTAGAAGGGCATGCGCTGTGTAAAACAAATTGTATGCTGGGTAAGTTGGCGGTTCATTCCGACCCCTGATGAATAAAAGGGACTAAGCTGAAGGAAAATGATTGAATGAATGGAATGTATTTTCATTTGTCGTGACTGAAAATCAGAGTTATTCCACCAAGATGCAGTTAAAATGTTCAAAAGTTTATATAAATGTTTGAAAATGTCACCAGTTTTTGCTGTTATACACTGTAAAACAATTCTACACAATCGATTTGTGTTGGGACAACATGAAGGAATTAAGTTAACTTATTAGTTTTTACAAATTTAAGTTGATTGAGCATGAAATAATTAAGTTGCACCAAAAGTAACACAAGAACTGTGTTGTTTTCAGCTTTTTTTTAATAAGTAGTTTGAACAAACAGCAAACTTAATTATTTGAGTGTATGCAAAAAGTTCTAATCTAAACGACAAGAAAATAATCAATAATTGTTTATAGGTCTTCATGTTAATGAGTGGGCTGTGAGCTAAACTGAAAAATCTAATTGTACTAAAATGTTTTTACAAAATGTTATTTTTATTATATTATACAGTTCTCATTACACAGATGCTTGTTCAGGTGATCTTTCTTGTTATATATTTGCATTTAGATAGTTATTTAATACTATAATGCTGGATGTGCCAAAACTTTTTTCATTTAAACAAGGAGAAAATTGAAGTAAATGCGTTTGGGAACAGAGATGAGGTTCTCAAGGTGAATGCGTACCTTGGCTCTAAGGGTCACCAACAAAAATTAAGGTCAAGAATCTTGTGATTTTATAGTCTGATCTGAGTTTCAGTAGTCATGTCAAAGCAGTTAGTAAATCAGCATACTATCATCTCAAAAACATAGCAAGAATCAGATGCTTTGTTTTCAGTAAAGACTTAGAGAAACTTGTTCATGCTTTTATCAGCAGCAGGGTGGATTACTGTAACAGCCTCCTCACCGGCCTTCCTAAAAAAGACAGTCAGAAAGTTGCAGCTCATCCAGAACGCTGCTGCCAGGATTTTGACCAGAACCAGAAAATCAGAGCACATCACACCTGTCCTCAGGTCTTTACACTGGCTCCCAGTTACATTCAGAATAGATTTTAAAGTATTATTACTTGTCTATATATCACTAAATGGCCTAGGACCTCAATACATTACAGATATGCTTACTGAATACAAACCTAACAGATCACTCAGATCTTTAGGATCATACAAACTACAAATTCCAAGAGTTCAGTTAAAGCAGGGTGAATCGGCCTTTAGCTACTAACATCGCCCCCCGCTGCTGGAATCAGCTTACAGAAATGATCAGATGTGCTCCAACATTAGGCACATTTTAATCCAGACTAAAAAACCCATCTGTTTAGCTGTGCCTTTACCTGTGCTACGTCTGACTGATTGCACTATTGTTAAACCGAATTGTTTATTGTTCAATCCGCTTAAATCTGTAAAAACTTTTAAGTTAGCTTAATCAATTTGTGTTGGGACAGCATAAGGGAATTGTGTGGAACTGTATTTTTTACAGTGATAATGAAGACGACAACTCCCATGATTTCACACGTAGTCACGGAGTCATCAAACTACGCCTTTGTTTGTTTTAAATACATACCCTTTAGCAGCAAAGATGACAAATTGTGCTTTTAAATATCTGATGTGAATATTTTTGCATGTAAAAGGAAGAATATTTAAAAAAATTGCATTTTGCGATAGCATGTTAACAATGCTGCATTTAATATGTCAAGTCCAACATGTTTCATTATTGCAGGGAAAAGAAAGCTTCACTACAACTTTCGAATGCAAGCAGCCATGTTTGACTGTTGCATGAAAACAAATCCGAAATTTGAACAGTGTAAACAAACAAAAAGAATTACTTTTAACATCACAACCACTGTTGTATGATATTTATATCAACCTGAAAAGATCAACAACAATCAGAAAAGAAAAAGAAAAAAAAATCTTGACATGCAACTTATTCTCACTCAAAGGCGTCAAAATCAAAAGCATGGTGAAGCACCTTACATGTCAATATGAGGGTGGCCCTATAGGGTTGATTGCTTGATCATACAGTATTTCAGCATACATAATAAAATAGTCAGATAAAAAACAGCATATCCTGTCTGCTTGGTTTCAGAGATGAACATTGACATGTAAAGACACTTTCGTGTTAAATACCTAATTTCAAGAGTTCACACTTAGCTCATGATTTATACATAGCTTGTTTGGCATGCTATCCCGGGAGAGAGCCCTGAGCTCAAGGGATCCTCGAGCCCAGGGCTCCCCCCTTTTGCAGGGCGAGTGGAGATTGAGCTCAGGTCTATCTCAAACTCCCCCGCTGCTGAGACCAAGGCGAACTTCCTGAGAGTAAGATATTATAAAAAAGGTTTAGGCTTATTTTATCTATAATATAGAGCACATTTGGATGGTGGGAGGAAACTGGGGAACCCGGGGGAAACCCATGCGGACACGGGGAGAACATGCAAACTCCACACAGAAATACCATATGGCTCAGCGAGGACTTAACACCATTGGTATTCTTGCTGTGAGGCCACAGTGCTAGTCACTGGGCCACCGTGCTAACCCATTCTGGATAAAGGAGGAAGAAGGGGAGGAGGGGGGTTTCTTCCAGACGAAGATAGTTGTAGAAAGGAAATGAGGATATATAGAGTGATTTGGGATCCTTTGATTGGAGGATCATAATTAGCTAATGTGGACCAGCTGGGTCAATCATGAGCACATGCTCCTCTCGAAATTAGTTTAAAATTAAACTTCACTTATTGTATAATCATTGCGATATAGATATTGCGATATGATTATTTGTGATATTTTGATCATTTCGATATATTGACCAAGTCTATATCCATAGGGTTTTTAATTATGGGACATTTCTGCACTTGACGAATCTAAAATTGCATCAACAGGCTCCAGGAAGAATGCCAAGATGTTTCATTAACATATTTTGCAATATTCAATCCAATACATCAAATCTCAAATAGGAATAGTGATAAAAATTTAGTTTGGCACCTGTGTGATTAAATTAAATGTCATCTATGCATTTTTATGGGCCGTCCTACATCCCTCAGGCAGCATAAAGATGAGTTAACCTCTCCTCTGCTGTGCATCCTGGCGGAAATCAAAACAGGACCAGTCTTTGTCAAAGAGGCTAAAAGATATTTCTGATTAACATTTTTGATTTTACGATCCAAAATGTTTTTTTTTTTATCAGATGCATATCCAGAATGAAACGGCTCCTATTAGTTTGGGCCTGTACTGGATGTGAACCTAATTACAGATTCGTCCGTATTCAGCAATCCCAGTTCTCCTTTGAGCTCCATGGCAATATGCTGCTAATGCATGCAAATGGAGGTGTTTGCCAGCTGGCTTGGCAACAGAGGAACGACACAGAGTGTGTTTAGAGACATGGTGTCTCTTTCATAAGCCCGTTCATTATTAAATAAAAAAATAAAAAATTGAATAAGCCTTGTATATCAAATATCATCAAAATGCATTGGATTTTTCTTGAAAATGAGAATGAAAGAGCCATGGATGCATTAATAAAACTTTCTCAAAAAATATAAAACCATCACAACAGAGAGGTTTTAGAGATTTACATATAAGAACAATGCAACAGATGCATTTACGTGCACTGCTCTAAAATCTCTAGCGAGCAAACAGAAGGAGAATTGGAGAGATTAAATTCTGTTTTTTTTACTATTTTGTTTTTGAATTTTTGTTGTTGTAACCATTTATTCTGTTTATTTATTCTATATATATATATATATATATATATATATATATATATATATTTATTTATTTAGCATCGGCGACTTGGTGGTGCAGTAGGTGGCATGTTAAGACTCACAGCAAGAAGGTCACTGGTTCGAGCCTTGGCTGGGTTGGCTTTTCTGTGTGGAGTTTGCATATTCTGCCCGTGTTCGTGTGGATTTCCACCGGGTGCTCCGGTTTCCCTCACAAGTCCAAAGACATGTGGTATACGTGAATCTGGCAGGCTAAATTGTCTGTAGTGTAGTGTGTGAATGAGTGTGTGTAGATGTTTCGCAGTGACGGGTTGCGGCTGGACGGGCATTCGTTGCATAAAACGTGCTGGATAAGTTGGCGGTTCATTCCTTTGTGGCCGCTGGGGCTAATAATTTTGACCTTAAAATGGTATTTAAAAAATTAAACACTGCTTTTATTCTAGCCCAAATAAAGCTTTCTCCAGAAGAAAAACTATTATCAGACATACTGTAAAAATTTCCTTGCTCTGTTAAACATAATTTGTGAAATATTTAAAAAAGAAAAAAAAATCAAAGGGGGGCTAATAATTCTGACTTCAACTGTATATTTAGTACATATGTAATCATTTATTCTGTTTATTTATTATATAGGTATTTAACACAAAAGTTTCTTTGTTGTTACATGTCTATCCGTCTGATGAAGAGCGTGTGGTTTGAATCGTTACACGCTTTGTGTCAGATTTTTTAATTTAATAAATTTGTATTTTTGGAGCTTTGGTGTTGCCGCCTTTGATGAATATTTACATGTCAATCTGTGAAACCAAGCAGACTGGACATGCAGTTTTTTCCCCCCAAAAATCTATGTATATATGCTTAATATTTCCTTTAAAGTGTTGTATAATAATGGCGGCGCAGTGGGTAGCACGTTCGCCTCACAGCAAGAGGGTCGCTGGTTCGATTCTCGGCTCAGTTGGTGTTTCTGTGTGGAGTTTGCATGTTTTCCCTGCGTTTGCGTGGGTTTCCTTCGGGTACTACTCCGGTTTCCCCCACAGTCCAAACACATGCGGTAGAGGTGAATTGGATAGGCTAAATTGTCCGTAGTGTATGAGTGTGTGTGTGTGTGTGTGTGTGTATGTGTGGATGTTTCCCAGAGATGGGTTGCGGCTGGAAGGGCATCCGCTGTTTAAAAAACTTGCTGGATAAGTTGGCGGATCATTCCGCTGTGGCGACCCCAGATTAATAAAGGGACTAAGCCAACAAGAAAATGAATGAATGAATAAATGAACGTTGTATAATAATAAAAACTGCAGAGATGTACATTAAAAACAGTTTTAGGTTCTTTAACTTTTCAATCACATTGTTGCTTTCAAACCACAAGTATATAATAACGGTAATAATTAGATTAATAAACAATTATTGTCTTTATTTTTCAAAATAATGCTCTAATTAATAATAAATTGATATTTTATATGATTTATTGGTTAGCTTTATTTTAATTATGCTTAACATTATAAATAGCTGAAGTAGACCGACAAGAATAGGAATGTTTTTAAATAAATATACTTTGCATTTACATTGTTGTTTTGGGGAAATACAACTACATAATGATAATAATGATAAGTATGAGACAAATTTATTTTTACAGTCATCATTTGGTCATACATAATCATTCATTCATTTTCTTTTCAGCTTAGTCCCTTTATTAATCAGGGGTCGTCACATCGGAATGAACCACCAACTTATCCAGCATTTGTTATATGCAGCAGATGCCCTTTTAGCTGGAACCCATCACTGGGAAAATACATAATCATATTAATTAATATTAAATTGCTCATAATAATATTTATTGTTATTGCACAACATGACATTTTTAAATAATCAGCTTAACTGTGCTTATTCAGACTTTATTTCTATTACTGTTCCTGCTGCTATATTCAAAATAATAATAATAAGAAAATATTAATGGATTTATTTCTGTGTTCATCATCATGTTAGAATAATTATTTTATTATTTTATTATTATCTCTGTTTAGTTCTGTTTTTCATGTTTTACATGGCATCATGTAATAAAATAAACCTACATAACTTCCCATAAAAGCTTTTAAAACGTTACTTATTTAAAATCAAAGCTACACAGTAGTATGAGCTGAATATTCATATTTTTATGAAAGATATACTGATGTGAACGTCATAGTTTTGGGGAAGAAAACAAGCCCCTAATACAATATAGTTTTGGTAAGATGAATAAAAAAAACACCATATCATGCTATTTTATAATCATTATTGATATTATGAATAGGTTATCATCACAATAAATAATTAATTGATCATATTATAAGTATTACTCACAATTATATCATTGTATTTGTGAAATGCAACCATATACGTAATATTATAAATCAATAATATGCATGATATCATTATAAACATCATAATATTGCAGTCATTTTAAAAATATTTTACTTTTAAATAATAAAAAAAGATAAATAATGAATTTAGCACGTTATTAAAACATTACGGTTATTTATTTTGATAGAAGAGTGCAAGTTCACTTTGTATCAAGTGTTCAGTGAACTGCAGTGACACTGTCCCTTTAAGACGGCCATCGCTCCAGTTCTGTCGAGCCAGCGCCATTTTTTCAATGCGAGACTCGGCCTGCATAAATTATGTTCATGACGTAGTGCAAAAGAGCAAATTTGTGTTAATTTTTCGGCACTTTTCTACAGATAAGGGGTTACCTTGGCTATTAAGGTGCACTTGCTCCACCGGCACGACAGTTTGCGGAAAGACGCCATTAAACATTTAGTTGAAAAGAAGCCCAGACTGCTTCCCCGAGCCTCCTTATCAATGCAAATAGCTCTTTTGTGTGCATTCGCAGCGCGCGTCGGAAGCTGTGAGATGAATTTTTAATTATGCATATTTAAAAACAAACTGTGGCAAAGCTCGCCGAAGGAGGAGAAAATAAAGAAAATAGTCCACCTTTCAGCGGGTAAGTCGTGAATATGAGCGCAGCTCGCATGCATTTTTGCACAACGCGATACGAAGTCGCGGAGCCGAAATGAGTTTTTGGTTAATATGCAATGGTCTTAATTAGCATAATTTATATATTTATGATAAAGAGAAAGGAAATACATCAAATGCCGTCCCGAGTCATGGCATATTGGCATGTGAGGAGGGTGATCAGTAGATGAAGTGTGTGTCCCGTGGGGAGAGTTTTATTTTTGCATTGTGAATGTGTTGCGAGGGCTGCTGTAGTACCTCACAGGCCTGCCTGACTGCTTGATGTTGAAAATGCGCAAAGCTTACATAATGCTCTATTGTTTTAGGAGAATTACATGCGCAGATTTAGAATGCAAGACGTATATGTCGCGTTCCAAATGTTCGGTGGTGACATTGGAACGCGTTCGATCGATATTTATAGGCGGAGAATGTACCACGTTCTTCTTTGAACTGTGTTTACGTTTACTTTGAGGTAACGTTAAGTGGGATTTCATATTTTACGTTGACAACCTTGAGCTCGGGCGTCATGGACGTGACGTTATACACTTTATTACGTCATGATTGTCTAGTCTGTATCTTGCAGAGATTTACCATGGTAAACTTGTTTAATAGTTCCCGCCAGAATGTTAGTTGCTGTTCTTATTTTGATAAATATATCATGAGATATATCATGTATGAAGTGCATTGAAATTGTGTGTTTGTGTATGTAACAGTGGTGGCTTGTCAGATTTATTATTGTAGTAAAAAAAGTAGCAGAAACTATACCATGGTAAATGTTAATGGTGTATTTATAATGGAATATAATACAAATAAGTGTTACAGGAACAGACGAACGGCTAGTTGTGGTTTTAGATTATAGTATTTAGTTTAGAAAGTTTTTAATAGTTAGATTTAGTTACACTACATCACATAACCTTTATAACCTCATATGTAATTCAACAGACTTCTTTCATGTTTGCAAATATTTCCTATAAAATAGGATATTTATCACGTCATATAATCGTAATAATTTAATAAATTAATATTTTAAGTTGACAGTCTTTTGACCCTTTAGTTTGTGGCTTCAGTCATTGTTTGGATATTCTTTTAAATTTGGAAGAACTACAACTGATATTGAAATGTATATCATTATTGTTCAATATGGAAAAAAATTAATCGAGATTGCCCAGCCCATCATGGACGTGACATTATACACTTTATTACATCATGATTGTCTGGTCTGTACCTTGCAGAGATTTACCATGGTAATCTTAGTTAATATTTCCCGCCAAAATGTTATAGTTGCTGTTACTTATTTTGACTAATATATGTAATGGGAGGTAATTGTAACAGTGCATTGAGATTTGTTTGTGTGTGTTTATGACAGTGGTGGCTTGTCATATTTGTCACATTTATTATTGTACTAAAGAAAGAGGAGCAGAAGCTTTACCATGGTAAATGTTAATGGTATATTCATAATGTTATATAATATAAATAAACTAGTGTTACAGGAACAGATGAACTGCTGTGTTGTGCTGTTTTACATTATAGTATTTCGTTTAGATATACATATTTTAGATTAACAGTTTTATTTAGGCAAATTTCAGAATGGAATACAGAATACAACTCTGTAAAGATTACAAAATCAACATTTTACCCTATTAACAAACCCAACCCAAACTAATCTCTAGCTATGACTTTAAGGGCTTGGCTATCATTAAATACAATTAAAGCTTTCATCTTTATATAATGATGAGAACGTTAAAATAAAATACAATCAAAAAATGAATAGGTAAGTCCAGTCAATAGCATATCACATTGACATTGTCACAATCAGTATATTTCTCACACATTTATTACTGTTCCATTTCCAAACAGGTTAAGTACCTGGACCATTATTTGTTTAGCTTGTCCATTGAAAATCTAAAGCCAGCCGAATGTGTTCATAAACTCTTTTCCAAAAATCCTGAATTTTTGTACAAGACCAGAGCGTGAACTAAATCACCGTTTTCTGTCTTACATCTCCAACAAAAAGGTGTATATTTTAACCGGAGCCTAAACAGTCTAAAAGGAGTCCAGTAAAAGCAGTGTATAATCTTGTTTAGAAAGTGTTTATTTGTTAGATTTAGTTGCACTGCTACATCACATAACCTTTATAACCTCATATTATGTAATTCATCAGGCTTTTTTCATATTTGCAAATATTTCTTTGATTTACTTTTCTTTATTGTCCACAAGTGGAAATTTATCTTTGGCTTCACCAAACAACCACATCAGCATTCACATTACACTTATTACAGAAAAACAGGCAACACAAATACATTCAATATCATTGATTCATTTATTTTCTTGTCAGCTTAGTCCCTTTATTAATCCGGGGACGCCACAGCGGAATGAACCGCCAACTTATCCAGCAAGTTTTTACGCAGCGGATGCCCTTCCAGCCGCAACCCATCTCTGGGAAACATTCACACACACACACACACACACACACACACACACACACACACACTCATACACTACGGACAATTTAGCCTACCCAATTCACCTGTACCGCTTGTCTTTGGACTGCGGGGGAAACCGGAGCACCCGGAGGAAACCCACCCGAAGGCAGAGAGAACATGCAAATTCCACACAGAAACACCAACTGAGCCGAGGTTCGAATCAGCGACCCAGCGACCTTCTTGCTGTGAGGCGACAGCACTACCTACTGCGCCACTGCCCTGCCCCACATTCAATATCGTCACATAAATCATAAAAAAATTCAACCCTATTAATACTTAAAACCCAATATTTATAATTCTAATGGCAGTCGGCACAAAGGACATTTGATAAAACTTTTTCTGTACTTGGGTTTGCCTAGAATGTATTTTTTATGGCAAGAGCTGAAATTTTATATTTCTGATAAAATGGGATTTGTCATATAATCTTAATATTTTAAGAAATTTATATATTTTTAGTTTACAACACATTTTTGATTGTAATGGGATGTCACATGTAGGCATGGGACGATAACCGTTTTCAAGGTATACAGAGGTTTAGAAAAGTCAAGGTTTTAAAACTGCCAACATTTTCTGTAATACCGTTCCCAAGGAAGAAAAAAATATCCAAAGCAGAAAAAAATATCCAAAGATGGCATTTTAAATTGCAAAGAGATCTGTATTTTTAAACTAATAAAGTCAGCAAAAGTCAATGATTCATTTGAATTATTTAGTTTAATATGTTTACTGTTCAAAAATATATTATAAATATTTCAAAAAATAAAATATATTAAAATATAATAAAAAAAAAACTAAATAATAAAAAATATAAAATTTTCAAAGGGGAAAAAGTTTTTGTTTTTTTACTCAGACATAAAAAATAATATATTTTAGATCAGTAATCACAATACTGTGATACTGATATTTTTATCCAAGGCTATCATACTGTCAGAAACTTATACCGGCCCATGCCTAGTCACATGTCATATTTGCACTAAATCATGATGGTTTAAATTTCTGTATTTTCATGTAGTGTGTCAGTAGAAACTTACAGTTTACATTTACAGACATTCTTTTGAGTTATTGTTATAATCCAGTAACCATCTCTAATGTGTCTCAAAGTTTCTTACATTAAATGGCACTGAATCACATTTTTGTCCCTTTATAACTATATATTTAATTCAACATTTTTCTGTATTCTTTTAAGTAATTCTGATAAAATGGGACGTTTGCTAATTTTCATTTACACTAAATCATAAATTTATTTTTACTTTCATAATATTATCCATTTCAGACTGAAATGAGACAATTTGTCAATATTTAATTGTTCTAAATAGAGCTGAACAATATATTGTTTTAGCATTGATATCGCATGTGTGTATTCGCAAAGCCACATTACAGGATAAGATTATTTTCTTAAATTATGTATATAATAATGACTATTTTGCTTTACATTTGATTTTTCAATTTCTGTACTTGAATATGGTTTGACTCCACAGAAAACCATAAAGCACTGATTATTTATCTTTTGGTTTTGATCTGTCATATTTATATCTGCTTGTAATTTATTTTATGCACACGCACTGCATAGAAAATGACTTGGATCATCTCAGTCGATCATCAATAGAGCTACTCAAATCATCGGGTGAAATGATATATATCTCGCAATAAATATATATCACAGCAAAACAAAATATCACAATGTCAGATTTTTCCAATACTGTGCAGCCCTAGTTCTAAAGCATTTTTTCCTTATAACTTAATATCTGCAATTCATTTTTGTTGTTTTTTTATGACAACAATTTTTGTTGTTTTGTTATGAAATGTTTTGCTTGAAATTGGATATTTGTTAGGTTTAGTGGTAATTTTTGCATTTATTACATATTATTTTGTAATGTAATAATAATATTACTTGCATATTGTTAATGATTTATGTTGAACTGGGACAATTGTAAGATTTAATTGTAAGATTAATTTTATCTCAATATTTTTTTAGCTTCATAATTAAAAATGTCAGTTAGTGCAAGTAAATCTAACCATTGCCCCATTTAAACTAGCCGACTAGCCAAACTGGTGGCGAACTCTGCAAAACCTCACCTTTATTTTTTTTCATCAAGTTGTACCAACGTAAATGTCTGCGTTCAAGACAAAAGAAAGAAAAGTTTTCTTTTAGCCTTATAATTTGATGTTGTCACCATGTTGCTTTGTCTTCGCTCTACTGGTTGTTTCCAGGTAATGGAAAAAACAACGAGCTCACAACATCCGAACAGATAAGAGGAACTGAAAGCAATATGGTTTTTACAGCATCACAGAGAAGGTAGCATGTTTCTCGAATATAAGATTGTGTTTGCACACAATTGACAAATAGTCGCAGGCAAATGAAACGTTCAAGAGTTCACACTTAGATATTACTTGATAATAATAGCAGGTTTGGGATGCTGTCCAGGGAGAAAACCCTGAGCTCGGAGATCAGGGCTCCTGCCTGGTCAATGAGCATGTAAAGGGGTATGAGATCAAATAGTTTTCGAGAGCTCCCCCTGGTAGAGAAAGGGAATGATTGGGTTGATGGGGGCGATTTTTAAAAAAAAAACGAATAAGTTTGGAAAGATCCGATTGGCTTACTAATGATAACAGATGACAGACCAGTCGCTATCAATCAAATCACGTGCTCCTCTCGAATATAGTTTGTGTAACTTCACCTAAGGTTGGCTCACACTGTGCGGTTTATTTTATTTATTTATTTTTTTAACTCCTGAACATTTGTTGCATGTCAGACTGCACGAACATGGCTCCCTCCCATGTCACATTATAAGATCTCAGCTGAACGACAAGGAAGGCGCGCCAAACTCGAAAGAAAATGCCCCTGAAGTTTGATGTCATCCACCCGTGACACTTTCAATATCCTGTGTTCTGAAATGATTCCTCAAAGCAAATGTAAACAATCAGTAGCAGCAAATTTGCACTCAGCTTGTCTCAAAAGTAAAACCAGGAAAATAAAAAATGTTTTGACATTTCCCTTTGGTCATTTGAATTGTCGCATGGATTCACGTCATTAAATTCGGCGCTCCTATTTGTTCTTGGATTGACGCTCATCGCAGCTGTTGTCACACTTCCGGAAAGTGTCTGAAATCCGACACTGTCAAAACTTCATCGGAGGAATAATTTGATCGCAACGGGCACTAAGTGGCTGTCTGTGAACATGTCAAACCAACGATCAAAGATCACAGATTTTAGCCTAGGATTTCAGGAATCTTTTAGGATTTCCCAAATTTGTCTCAGATGACAAAATCTTGGCAGAAATCTCACAGTGTGAGTAGGGCTTTAGTGACAAGGCAACTCTGGCCTGATCAGGCCAGTAATGATCCTGTCTACTGTCCCCAGCATCTCACACGCTGATTCCGGGCCATCGGGCAGTTCTTATTATTGAGTCACATTTATTGAATCACATTTATATGTTTATTCTATAAATGAAAATATATAATAGAAAAAAATCCATATTGTCAAGTATTTGGGATTGAAATAGGATATTTGTTAGATTTAGTTGCAGTAAATTACCCTTATTAAAATGTTCTTTCCCTGTCTTACAATAGTAAGAAAAAAAATTACTACTTTAAAAATGTATCTTTCATGATCCTATGCTGTGAAATATCATAATAATGCAGTATCCAGAGAAAAAAATATATGATGAGACATTTTATTTAGTAATTTACCCGAAATTTATGTTCTCTGGCAGGTGGTGCACTACAAAAAAAAAAAAAAATGCTTTTCTTGCTTAGATTTTTTGTCTTGTTTTTAGTTCAAATATCTAAAAATTTCTAAATCAAGAAGCATTTTCTAGACAAGCAAAACATATAGTCTTGTTTTAAGAAATAATATGCCAAAATGAGTTTTTCCTTAAAACAAGCAAAATAATCTGCCAATGGGGTAAGCAAAATAGTCTTACGTCAAAAGAAAAAACAAGATTAATTTGCTTACCCCATTGGCAGATTATTTTGCTTGTTTTAAGAAAAAACTCACTTCATTTTGGCATATTATTTCTTAAAACAAGACAATATGTTTTGCTTGTCTAGAAAATGCTTCTTGATATAAGACATTTTAGATATTTAGACTAGAAACAAGACAAAAAATCTAAGCAAGAAAAGCATTTTTTTGCAGTGTGGAAGGGGGATTTTTCTACATTTTACAATAACTGATGAATCATTCGCAGAGCAAGGATGTTTCTCTGTCATGGTGACTTTAATATAGGCATATAGTCCTTTCAACCACTATTAACAATGATTTATTTTGCCTTAGGTGACGCTTTGGAGCTGCTAACATCTCCTTCGACAACTATGCAGAAACATCAGTGATCTTCTCAGAGCTTAGACTTCATCATCATGGACACTGAGGATCTCCCTGCAAACAATGCACCTCTCACTGTCAACGAGCAGGTATTCCTGAGTTTCTCACACCCAACATGCAGTGTTACCAAAACACATTTAATTTAACATGTCATCACACGTCCAGCCTCATACCCCACGTTTGTGAGTGTTCAGTCTACGTTCCCAGCACAAGCAATTTTCTTCTGCTGTATAGGTGTTCGCAGAAAGCATTGCTTATGCTTATGTTTTTGGGGAGATGCTTTGGGTTTGTTTGTTTGCTCATTTCACTTGTGTCCTTGTTGGGTTGTTTCTTTGTGTCCTAACGTGTGCTTGGCATCTCTGTTCTCTTTAGCCATTCACTGTCTGACTGCAGAAGTGTTTTCTCAGCTTTTAGGTTCCTGCACTTTGAAATTCCCAGCACAAGACGCGCAGGTATGAACCCTCTCCTGCCTCTGTTCTGCTCTCTGCGCTGCGCTGAGCTTCCCTCTCTGCCTGAGCCTTGCTTTTACTCCTGTGAGGTTTCTTTAATCTCCACTGATTCACACCTGTGAATCGATTTATTCGTTCCGAAACAGGGATTAAAATTGTTACAAAGTTGCTCTTTGCTCCTGATGTGGTTCGCTTTCACATGGCAAAGTTTCTAATCGGACCAAAATAGCTAAAACAAGTCATGAGTAAACTCTCCTCACATTAGTCAGAATTTCACGGTTTATTTTACTCAGCTGTCAGGGTGGGTGGTGGTTTGGTGATTTGACAGGGTGCTCGCGACGTGTCTAAAGAGCAAGGAGGGATGCAGTGGAGAGGTGTAAGAAGGGTGCGCGACGTATTTAAAGACCAGGAGGGAGATGCGTGATTACTGGAAGATTATCACTAGAGGTGTGAACCTATACTGGTCTCATGGTTCGGTTCGGTTACGATTATCATGCCTTCGATTCAATTCGATATCTCCGCGCATCACGGTGCATTGACGATGCTTTCCATATACAGTATTATATTTTAGGGGGGAGGCTATAACATGCTGTCTGTATAAACACACAGACACACAGCACCACACTGTCTCTCATTCAAACACATACACAAACATAGACAGCAACAAACACACACACACACACACACACACTTAAGCCCTCGCAACAGGGAGAGCTTGAGCTGAGCGGAGCTGAAAAACGACAAAAAAAGAAGCACTTTTATGACGGTCCCTTACTGAGAGCTCCTCTCAGCACGAGCTCTCCCGGCTAAACACATATTGCGAGGGCTTAAACAGAGCAGTGCTTGTACTGTTGAGCGAAAAAAAAGAAAGACAGCTGTGAAACATAATCAGCTTTGTCTTTTTGTAGGAAACACACTTTAGATCTTTTTAGGGTAAGAGTTTTTTTAGTTAATACCGCCTATAACTAAATGTGTGTCAGGATTATCGAAAAAAAACAACAACTGAACTGCGCTCATTTCTGCCATCCCCCCTGGATATACAGCGCCCTTAGCATTTGCCTGGATATACAGCGCCCTTAGCATTTGACTATGGTGCCTATGCCACGGGCCGGCCCTGTTGTAAATACTCGTGCTCACCTCCCTCGCGACAGAGCGCATAGGAGATAAATGACGTCAGTACATAATAACTGTTTATGATTATTTCTGAACCAATACCGAATTGTCCGTGTTTGCATCGCAGTGCACCGAAGAAACAATTAATTTTGACACCCCTAATTATCACTCATTTGCGGGCATCCGGGAGTCTCTGTGCATTTGCGGTACACTCCTGAAACTCCTGGGAGTCTTTGGACGAACTTTGGATGTCTGGAATGACCTCCAACCCTACTCATAATTCTCTCTTCATATAGCCATATGCCTATTACATATCCATAAAACACTGTGACATAGCCGGGCTCGGATCATATCGCTTTCTCACTAAAATCGATCCACTCCAGAGTTTGTTCAATAGAGCCGAGACCACCTCATTCGGGCGATCTCGGACCGATTGTTTTGGCGAGGATCCGAGCGCGATTGCTGGATTCGTATGCCAAAAGAACTACGCTAACTGTCTAAACGAGACGGGTTCCGAAACAAAAGTCTAGGTGTGAAAGCACCCTAAAATGCTTGTATTCAGCTCAAAGTGCAATTTAAAGGCTTTATTTGGTACACCTGTCCAACTGCTCGTTAACGCAAATTTCTAATCAGCCAATCACATGGCAGCAACTCAGTGCATTTAGGCATGCAGACATGGTCCAGATGTTCTGCTGCAGTTCAAGGCGAGCATCAGAATGGCGAAGAAAGGTGATTTAAGTGATTTGAACGTGGCATCGTTGTTGGTGCCAGACGGGCTGGTCTTATTTCAGAAACTGCTGATCTACTGGGATTTTCACACACAACCATCTTTAGGGTTTACAGAGAATGGTCTGAAAAAGAGAAAATATCCAGTAAACTTGCAGTTCTTTGGGTGCAAATGCCTTGTTGATGCCAGAGGTCAGAGGAGAATGGCCAGACTGGTTCAAGCCAACAGAAAGGCAACAGTCACTCAAGTAACCACTCGTTACAACCGAGGTCTGCAGAAGAGCATCTCTGAACGCACAACACGTCCAATCTTGAGGTGGATAGGCTACAGCAGCAGAAGACCACACCGGGTGCCACTGCTGTCAGCTAAAAACAGGAAACAATTCGCAATTCGCACAGGCACACCAAAACTGGACAATAGAAGATTGGAAAACGTTGCCTCGTTTGATGAGTCTCAATTTCTGCTGCAACATTCGGATGGTAGGGTCTGAATTTGGTGTCAACAACATGAAAGGATGGATCCAGGTTGGATCCCCTTTTGAACTTCAGAACTGCCTTAATCCTAAGGGCATAGATTCAACAAGGTACTGGAAATAATCCTCAGAGATTTTGGTCCATGCTCTATTGGATTTAGATCTGGGACTGTGGAGGCCATTTGAGTACAGTGAACTCATTGTCATGTTCAAGAATCCAGTCTGAGGTGATTCACGCTTTATGACATGGTGCGTTAAACTGCTGGAAGTAGCTATCAGAAGATGGGTACACTGTGAATATTGATTTTTATTATACGTCTTCATACAAAATGAAAATTTCACACCATTCTGTCTCATGTAAGTGTACATAATTTCTTGTTCTTGTTCTTCTTTTTATGAAATATTATTAAGTTAGTCCTTTTTAAATGGGGAAATCACTAACTGCACTGCTTCAGACCAAAAACTAAAATCCTAAAATGATCACAAATCTTCCATATATCACCCAGTTGTAATTTAATGCCCCTTTTGCTCAGCAAATCTCGTCAGTGTTTATCTAAAATGTCAGAGAGATCAGAAAACTCACAGGTGTAAACTTGACCAAACCATGATCCATTTTCATCATGTCTGCACTGCCGCTTATTAGGAGAGAAAGCAGAGCATTTATAACCAGTTATACCCTTTATTCCAGGTCATTGTCATGTCAGGCCAGGAGACCATCCGTGTGCTGGAGGTGGAGGTGGACACGGCCTTATCTTCTGCAGGGGCTGCAGAGTCTGGGGGTGATGAAGAAGGCTCTGGTCAGAGCCTGGAAGCAACAGAAGAGGCTCAACTGGACGGTCCAGTAACCACAAGCTCTACCACAGCTGGTACGACTGATCAAATGATCTGATATAAATAGATACATTAGATTCGTATCATAGCAACCCGGTGTTCAAGCCATCATCATCAACCAGGCATTTAAAGCCATAATTGTAATAAATGGGTGGTTTGTGTGCAATGCCAGCATTCATTGTGATCCATATGCATGGAAATATGATGCATGTTTTTAAATGTGACTCACTCTTTTGCATGCAGTGACTGTGGAGGTTTCAGCACCTGTAGTGCAGACTGTGGTCTCCAAAGCTGCCATCAGTGTGTCTCCAGCTCAGCAGACCAGCGTTCCCATTACTGTTCAGGCTTGCCCACAGGTGAAACTTTTTTCTCCCATTTTTAGAAGTGAATTGTCTTTGCCTGTAATCCCTTGATCATACATGTTTCTGATGGTCATGTGAATGTGCTCATGGTTGCTCTTATATGACTTGTCTAAATGTTTGAATGAACAGTAATGAGTAATTTGATATGCATTATGTATTGAAAAAACATTAGGGGAGGCCTTATTTTAATGCTATTCTTAAAGTGTGTATATTTAATGCAGATTATTATTATTTTACATTCATTCATTAATTTACTTTTTGGTTTAGTCCATTTATTAATCTGGGGTCGCCACAGCGGGATGAACCGCCAACTTATCTAGCACGTTTTTATGCAGCGGATGCCCTTCCAGCCGCAACCCATTCACTAGGAAATATCCATTCACATTCATACACTATGGACAATTTAGCTTACCCAATTCACCTGTACTGCACGTCTTTGGACTTGTGGGGGAAACCGGAGCACCCGGAAAAAACCCACACGAACGTTGGGAGAACATGCAAACTCCACACAGAAATGCCAACTGACCCAGCTGAGGCTCAAACCAGCGACCTTCTTGCTGTGAGGCGACAGCACTACCTACTGCGCCATCACGTCTAATATTTTACATTTTAATGTTATTTTTTATATTAATGTAATCAAACTTTAACTAAAAATAAATAAAATGTTCTTTTTGTTATGTGTTTTTTGTGCTATTTTCTTTTTTTCAAGTCAATTTTAGGAAGAGAAGCATAATAGAATTATTTGTCAGATTTTACAAAAGATTCCATTAGTTAAGATTCATCCACGAGGTTGTTATTGAATAATGCCAGGCAGGTATATTGGCAATTGTGAAAAACTTCTCTCACTCACTATTTTTTGGCTTAGTCCCTTATTTATCAGGGGTTTTCACAGCAGAATGAACCGCCAATTACTCTGGAATATGTTTTATGCTGAGGATGCCATTCCAGCCACAAACCCACTGTGGGAATGACTCGAAACAAAAACAGCCGAATAGCCCCTTTTCACATTTCCATAACAGTCTTGTGAAAAGGTCTATAACATACCTTAGAATGTTGTAACAGACTTATCAGAATTTAGTATTCCAAACTATTGTTTTCATGTTAATGTATGAACAAAACATGACCAAACAATGACCAATACATTTATTACAGTATTTCATATCTGATAATGTTAATGAAAAACTGAGCCACCGTGCTGCCTATAAATTGTTCATTGTTAATTCTTATTAACTCACAGTGCATAAACGGTTAACAAGCAGATTGTAATGCATTTATGTAATGCAGATTATCTAATAATGCATTAGAACATGTTGAACTATGATTAATAATGCTGTACAAGAATTGTTCTTTCTTTTGTTCAATTCAGTAATTACTAACATTAACGTGTGACCTTAAAGAGTTACTGAAGACATTAATAAATTGATGTATGTAATTTATACATGAAATATAAAACAGCTAATTTTTCATAGTAATAATATTTCACAATATTACCATTACACAAATTTTACTGTTTAACACAGGTTGGTGAGAATAAGAGTCGTTTTTTTAAACACTCAAAATATGAATTATGCCAAACATTTAACTGGTCTATTATTTATATTATTAATATGATCTATTATTTATATTTTATTTTTTAAATTTATAATTAATGGTTTTGTTTAATTATAAAAAACACTGATGCAAATGTCAGTAAAGTACATATCAAATGTTTTGACATTTAAAAAACCTTTCTCAGACTGATTAAACAGATATGGCTTTTCTCTGCCAGGTCCTGACTCAGGATGGTCTGGCGTCTCTGATGACTGGCATGCTTGCCCAGCAGAGTTCTCTAGGTCAGCCGCTGCTCATTCCTCTCAGTATGGCTGGATCAGTCGGGGGTCAGGGTGGTCTGGCGGTGCTCACTTTACCCACCGCCACTGTGGCCACTCTCCCCGGTCTCGCTGCTGCCAGTCCTGCTGGAGGCCTGCTGAAGCTGCCGTTTGCTGGACTGCAAGGTATAAAGCTCACAAGCATTTTGCATTCTGATCTGTGCAAAGTGGCTTTGAAAAAATCGTCCTATTACGCTATTTTAAAGGTTCCTAAATTTGTTTCAGAGGGTGTCTACTATTGTTTTACATACATTCAAAGTAAAAGACACTTAGATTTTTTTTGTTGTATATACTACAATATCAGTTTTTCCTTATAGTTTCTGTAGTGATTGGAAAAAGGGATAATTCATTCAGAAATGAAAATGTGCAGTTATTTTACTCAGCCTCAGGTGAAGATTTTAAGTTTTAAGTTTTCTTAAGGAGAACATTAAATAAGATTTGTTGCTGGGAATTTTTTGTTATCCCTGTAGCAAGGAATTTTTTAAAGCATTAGAGTCCTTATGTATTAACGCTGCGTAAGCACAAAAACTCTGCGTACGCTAGGTTTCATGCTCACGTTTGGATTTACTATATAGTAACTATATTTACTATACGATAATATAAACGTGAGTGTGCGTTGGTCCACGCCAACTTTGTCTGGCTACGTGCATTTTTTGTGTGTGTTTGTTTTATTTTCATTGGCGACTCTTAGAGGCAGTTGTGTTAAATTGCCCACTACAAAGTATCTTTGAGCTGTGCAATGGCAGCTGTATGGGACGGGATTATCCGGATTTCTAGCAGGTATATAAGGTTTCCATACCATACAGTTGACCAGCCAAACATTAAAGCTCAACTTGCAGCGTTCGCCGGTTTTCCCAATGTAATCGGATCGATCTACTGCACGCACATTGCTATAAAGGCGCCATCTAAAGATAAATTTGCATAGGCTACGTGAATCGGAAGCATTTCCATTCAATAAATGTGCAAATAATATGTGTTGCTCAAATGCGCTTAACATAATACACACACTTATTAATGATTACTACTTCTCTTCCTCGTGATGAAGAGTTGGCAATATCTGATGATCAAATGGGTGGGAATCACTCAACAAGCTCATTCCAACAAGGTGTGCTATTTGCACTTAGCCTAAATAGACTACAAAATTTCACACCTTTACATCCAACAATTCCTTTTTTAATTCTTTCACATTGCAATGTTCAGACCCAACTGCGTTAACCGCGTCAGCTAAACTCTTCCACTCGTTTTTTTAATTTTGTTATTAATTCTGGAGGACAATCTTGCAAAAAACACTGTTTTTCTCCGGTCTACCTCCGATAGGAGCACCTCCAATTCACATTCACGTTCAAAGTTTCTCTTTTTGCTTGCTTTTGCCATTGATTTTTCATTTGGTTTTGCCAAAGTAGAGTCATTACCATATTTATTAGGAGAGGAGGCAGGGAAGGGTTTTGCGCTCATGCACGTGAGCTCAGTTTCACATTAATTCAGATGTTCGAAGAGAATATGCGTGGGATTCCGCGTACGCACTGTTTTATACATCAGAATTTTTTACTGCGTACGCACATTTACAGCTTTGTGTGTACGCAATGTTTTAGTATCAATTCAACGCAAGTCTTCGTACATGAGGCCCCAGGTCACTCAAAATCCTTGTATGAATCTGCTCTGATTGATCAGATGGTCCAGTGTGTTGTAATTGGTTAATTTGCTTGCAGCGTGAAGCTGCGGTCACACTAGAGTTTGTGTGTGCGAAATTCTGTTGTACGGTGCTGCATAAAGGGGCGGGATTAAACAAGATTATCAATAAAAAAAAAGTCAATAAAAAAGCGAGCGATCGCTCCATGTTTGAAATTTCTGTCCAGAGAGGTCATGTTTTGATCCTCGATTGGTCTCACGCAGTCAAGTGATGCGATTTCGCAGGTCAGACTTCATCAAGCTTGAACTTTGTACTTAACGCATGACCCTGCGTTGCGAGTCTGATGCATTCGCTTGCGTATGAATGGAAGTCTATGGGGAGAAAAGTCAAGTATGACCGCAGCTTGAGTCAAAAAAAAGTTACCATATGTAAATTTCAACTTTAGAGGCTTCCTCAGCATTTGTAAACACAGAGATAACAACTGTAACGCTTACTTCGTTTTTACATTGGTCTTACTGTATCAATTCGAGTCCTCATTTGTTAGCATCTCCATGACATGTCAACAACACAAACCAAACTCCTCCAGGCCTCAGCTACAGTGTTTGAGGGAGAAAGCAAGGATTTGTGGGCAGCCAATGAAAACCCTAGACTGGCGTTATGCAAATTTACAACAAACACGCATCGATTTCTGGGTGAAAGTAAGACTTTTCAAGCAGTTTTAAGAGTCTAGTCTTTCTTTTGTGAGCCAATAACTCCATTTATCATGCACTTTGATATTAAACGTTGCAGGCTTTTTACATTCACAAACAGACTACATGAATGGTAATATCTGAAAAAGCATTACATGTGCACTTTTCAAAATGACTTCTGTTGGCATGAAATTCTATTGAATGTACACCGATGTAATGTAGCAGATTTTGTTTCTATATGAAATGCTGTATTGTCCTGGCCACTCAGCAGTTCTGAATAATGGAAAATGTAATAGCTCAGTGTTTAACATCAAAAATATTTTCTTGTTTTGATGGTAACCACAGCCTGTTTTCTTTCCTCCAGCTGCTACTGTGTTGAACTCTGTGCAGACCCAGCTTCAGGCACCTGCGCAGGCCGTCTTGCAGCCTCAGATGTCTGCTTTACAGGCTATGCAGCAGACGCAAACCACAGCGGCCACCACTGCGTCTATTGTGCAGAAGGCATCAGAGCCCAGTGTCTCCGTCGCAACACTGCAGACCGCAGGACTCTCCATCAACCCTGCTATTGTGAGTACGGAACAACGTATTGGGTTCAACTAAATCATAAAGTACTTGAATGCAAAGTGCGGTCATACTAAATGCTGATTTGATTTAGTTAATGTAAGTTAATGGATAAATAAAATGTATTTATGCATTATTTTTGAAAGCGTCCGCATTTTACAGCATTTTTACACAAGTGCCTAAAACTTTGAACAGTACTGTAGCTTTGCAGATAGTTTTTTCTAAGTATTAAAGATGTTGCTAAAGTTCTTCTGAATTTAGTTTGTCTCAGTTTGTCAGACTCCTAGTGCAGACAATAATCTCACTGTATAATTAGAATTAATGACAAAAAAATGTTTGGAACTGTAAATTGATATTTCAAACTGATATGCTACACAAAACTACAGAAATAACCAACTCTAAACCTTTTGCACAGTACTGTACATTTGAAAAATTCGATCTTTTAAAAAAAAAAATTCGAACTTTTTTTTCCTGCAGACTGTAGTCTTAAATTATTAAGGATGATTCATAATGAATTTGACATAGTTTGTGTGCTTTTTGTTTTGTTTTCGTCTTCTCCAGATTAGTGCAGCGTCTTTAGGAGCTCAGCCGCAGTTCATCAGCTCTCTTACTACGACTCCCATCATCACCAGTGCCATGTCAAACGTGGCAGGTCTCACAAGTCAACTCATCACCAACGCACAGGGCCAGGTTAGTACTATTCAACTGTTTATTTTGTCTTTTTAACAAATGCATATATACAAGTATGCAGCACTGGCCACTCGAAGACTTACCCACTCATTTTCATTCCAGAGGGAAGAGAAGCCAATCTGTGACGCATGTAAAAAAAAAAGTTTTGACTACAAAACATATTTTAATAGAATGTATATTTTGAAACGATATTAGAGAATGTTTTTATTCAGAAAATAGTTTTAAGGGAAATATTTATAAAGATGTCTCCTGGAAGAATTTTAGAATATTTATCACTGACTAAATTAAGAAATCACATTTTATTAAATTTGATAATCTTATTTTATTATTTTTGTCGTGTGTGTGTGTGTGTGTGTGTGTGTGTGTGTGTGTGTGTGTGTGTGTGTTTTAAGAAACTTATGTTTGTAAAGGATTTATTGAATATTTATTACCAGTGTTACCATGAATATTGTCAATTACTTTTGCTGCTTGTTCAGACTACCCATTTAAAATGAGTTGAATTTTTTTTGTGACAACTCAATTGTTTTATGTTTAATCCACTTAAATTTGTTGAAACGATTAAGTTAACTTACTTGATTTGTGTTGGAACAACATGGAGGAATTGTGTGCAGGGTTCATACGGTCCTGGAAAAGTCATGAAATTTCAACAAGACATTTTTCAGGTCTGGATAAGTTTTGGAAAAGAAAGAAACCTGCAATGTTTTGGAAAAGTCATGGAAATTTGTTCAACTAATTTCTGTGTACTTAAATATATTTGAGATGAAAATAATTGGCAAGTTCCCAGGGATAGGTTGCAGCTGGAAGGGCATCCTCTGCGTAAAATATATGGTGGATAAGTTGGCAGTTCATTCCGCTGTGGAGACCCCTTATTAATAAAGGGACTAAGCCGAACAGAAAATAAATGAATTACAGAATAATGGGTAAAAATTTTTATACAATTGTGTTGTCCATCTCTTTTTTCTGCATGGGTATTAAAAGCAACTCACAGTTTCAGCTTCACTCGCTTTCACTGTACTTTTAGAGACTTTTTGAGTGTCATGTGCAGAATCAATCTCTAACTACAGAGGTAAGATACTGTGGGTGCTAATTTGTACTGTACTTATAAGTCTTGTCAAAAGCCAACATTTATAACATTTTCACACAGACAGCAAGACACTTTCTAAAAAAAACCATTCTAGAGATGTAAAAATAATAAATATAAGCTATATAGATTGTCACATATTTATTGATATGCTGTAATAAATTTGAACGTGCAATTTCTTCTTCTTTACCTCCTGAACGTAGACATTACGCAGCGTTTCCTCTAGGATTTTTTTCCAGCTGTGGCGGCAGGCCTTTTTTTTAAAGACAAATGTCGTGAGCGCAATATTACAAGTCGGGATTGCATTATGTAATAGCCTACGAGCATGCCAATCTCTTTGCTTGCGTGCCAATTTCCTCTGCTTGTGCACAAAACTTCTTGCATGCCCCCTCAAAAATACGCTGCTCAAGCGCAGATCTGCTTGTGCACAATAAACACTGCTGAAGTGCAAGTTAGTGCATTTACGTAACAAGTATGTCTCTAACATTTTTAGATTTGCTAGGAATATTTATGAATGTCTCCAATAGGCCAGAGAAACGGCAGTACGTCATGTTTGCTGGCCTCACGCATCACGCACCTGTCAGTCAGCCAGTCAGTCAGTCAGCACGTAACCTTAAAAAGTTAAACAAATAGCGCACAGCACTACTACGGTTACAGAAAAGTTTGCGCTGTTATAATTCACTTACCTTTTAATACGTTTTGGTGCGATTTATCCCGCCTATAAAAAAAAAAAAAAAACACGACTGAATGTTTTGAATGAAAGCTGTATTATAGTCGTGGCGGGATCAATTTTGGCGTGGCGCCCCGCCATGGAAGAATGAATGTATTTACCTGAACATTTGTAAAAGCTATGGAAAAGTCCTGAAATGTTAGTAGTAAAAATGTGTATGAACGCTGTGTGTGGATCCCAGCATTTTTTAGTGTAGCCAATGCTGCTGATGTGGTAGAAATAGATAGATAAATAAATAAATAAATGAATAAATGATGCATTGATTGTTTGAATGAGTTGAATGAACGATTTATAATTCATTTGTACACATTGTCGTATCATCACTTCTGTGCTTTAGGTGATAGGAACTCTTCCTCTGCTGGTCAACCCCGCTTCTTTGGCTGGAGCTGCAGCGGCCTCTGCTTTACCTGCTCAAGGCCTGCAGGTTCAGACCGTTGCTCCACAGCTACTCCTGAACTCGCAGGGACAGATCATTGCTACGATAGGGAACGGTCCAACAGCTGCTATCCCATCCACCGCTTCTGTCCTCCCCAAAGCCACCGTTCCCCTGACCCTCACCAAAACCACCACACAGGTACTGCAGTGACTAGGGCTGTACGTTATTGGAAAAAACGACATTGGCATATTTAGTTTTTCTGCAATATACATTGTCAAAATATTTTTACAAGATGATTTAAATAACTGTATTACAGAAGAATTCATCGTTTTTTATTGGTAGGGAGTGCATCTGCATAAAATATAACAAGCATAAATGAATCCAATAGAACAAAGATAGAAAGTAAACAAACAGTGCTTTATGGTTTGAAGCAACCTAGAGAGTGTCACAGTATTGAGGTAAAGAAATTAAATAATAATAACAAAACATTCAGTTATCAACATTCAACAACACCCATTCTTTTCTAAAGACAATTTGGACCTTTTTTTTAATCTACTTCAAATGGTAACTATTATAATCTTCATTGTAGAAATAATTAAAAACAATTGATATTTGTTAAAGCTACACATTGAAAATGTCTTGTGTCCGAATGATTTAAATTTGATTGAAATCTTACATAGTCACAATCCAGATTCTGCAATGTGGCTATTGCCGATTCTCACACATTGCAATGTCGATGTTGAAATGATATATTGTGCAGCCCTAGCAGTGGCGCACACTAGGATTGGTGTATTCTGTGCACCGCTTTTGTGATTTATAAGCATTGCTATAATTTTTGTGAACTTCAGGTGCATGTTTTTGTTTAGTTAAAAACTTCAGTACTCCTTTAAAAATGCTCAGCTGTGAGCACTTTTCCTTCTATCTGAACAATTAAATAAACAGTGGTTAGCACTTTGCATAAAGCTTATGCTCGATGCCTTGCCACACTGCTGTGAAAATAATGTGGAGCTTCCAATGAAAAGAACAACTTTAAAAATCAGCTCCGTTTGGGAAAATAAGTTTAGACCAGGTGCATTACTAGACATAAATCTCTACTGGAGCATCCCCCCCATTTATTTATAACATTTATTATATGTTTTTATATTAAAAAAAAAAAGAATAACTGGAAAACTAAAAGACACAACTAAAGTAATATGCTAGGATAATTTAAAAAATCTTTTGCATGAATATTAATTTCATGTCAATTCTGTGAACTCAAGCCACAAGTTCTAGAGGTGCTTTCACACCTGCCTTATTTAGTTCGGTTTATTACTTTATTTAGGTAAATCGCACTAGAATTCGTTTTTCTCATGGTGCAGGTGCGAATGTAGAAATCGCAATCGGGTGCACACCAAAAGCGGACTAAAAAAAGTTGTTCGAGACCTACTTGAAGTGGTTGACTTGGTACGCCTTCAAACAAATCCTGGGGCAATTTATTTGTGGTGAGGACATGATCCAAACTAAAACAGACCCAACTGCAAAAAGTACTGTGCCTTTTTGGAGTATAATAGCTGCCAAAGTCCGATGCGCTGTTCCATCTTTTGGGGTTTGGAGGAAAAATATTTGTTGACGGCGCTTTACCAACAGAGAGAGAGAGAGGGAAAACATTACCTGATTGATCGTTGGTAATATTTCCGGAAGATGACCATGTCGCAGTTTAGCTAAATTAATTCATGCCTCCTCCTAACGCCTTCGCAGACTGCAATGCATTAAAACATTGTTTTCCAGCCGCTGAACTTCATTCTCCAAATGTATAGTTTTTCTAAAGTGATGTTTACAAACTATATAGTATACTATGACCACAATTAGCCAGTGTAGCGACATTTTTTGTCTGCCGGTTTGTTTACTTGCGGGAGTTCATCGGCATTTTCCCGCATGTTAATTCTGACCAATTAAAAAGCAGTTTACGAAATATGTTCAATAACATCTGGCCAATGAGTGATGTGGATTTTGGCACATGACTGCATTTTGGTATTTTTCAACTGGTTCAGACCAAAGCAATCAATGTGGTCTGAAAAGGACGCAAAACGGCAAAAAAATGCTACAATGTATCAGGGTGCTTTCACATGTGTAGTTCGCTTTATTTGGTCCGGACCAAGGACAATAAATGATACTTTGTAGCATTTTTTGCCGTCTTTGAGTCGTTTTCACACCACACTGATTGCTTTGGTCCGAACCTGATAAAAAAAGAACCAAAATTCAGTCATCTGACAAAATCCACATCACTCATTGGCCAGATGTTGTTGAACATATTTCCTAAACTGCTTTTCGATTGGTCAGAATTCACGTGCGGGAAATTGCCAATGGAATACCTGCAAGCAAACAAACTGGCAGACACAAAATGTTACTTTTTACTATGGAAATACAACCGTGCTGGCTGATCGTATCCCTGCTCACAGTATACTATATAGTTTGTATACATCCCTTTAGTCAAACTATACATTTTGGAAATTAAGCGCGGCTCAGGCATGAGGAGGCGTGAATTAATTTAGCTAAACTGCAACATGGTCATCTTGCAGAAATATTACCAACGACCCATCAGGTAATGTTTTTCCTTCTCTCTCTCTCTCTCTCTGATGGTTAAGCGATGTCAGCAAAAAAAAAATTTCCTCCACATCCCATAATGCACATCGCATCAGCCTATGGCAGCTGGATTAGTCCAAAGAGGCTCAGTACTTTTTTTTTTTTTTGCAGTTGGGTCTGTTTTAGTTCGGATCATATTCTCACCACAACTGAACTGCTCCAGGGTTCGTTTGAAAGCATACCGAGACCACCTTTTCAAGGAGTATGATTGCTGCATTCACATCTGCCCAAATGAACCGCATCAAGAGGGAAAACGAACTCTAGTGTGATTCAACTGAACTAAATAAGGCAGGTGTGAAAGCACCCTTATTTGTTGCCTTTGGTCCGGATCAAATGAACCGAACCACAGATGTGAAAGCACCCTAAGAAACAGAGACTGCAGAAATGCAATCTGTATGCTTTTTATTGAAATTTAAAAATGCTTTATTCTTACTGTGAGTATATACACAATGAAATTAATAAAGTTTCATTTACATTTAAGAATTGCAGTGGCAAAATAAGGTTTTTGCTTATTTGCTCATGGAAGTGTGAAATAATTGTGTGAAGAGTGTCCTATTTGTTGATGGGCTGTGATTGATTCTTCAGGGTCCTGTTGGGAAAGTGGCCCCATCCAAAGTGATCATTGCTCCCCAACCGTCAGTGGTTAAACCGGTGACCTCACTCACGGCTGCCGGTGTCATCGCCTGTGGAGAAATGCCTACCGTCGGGCAGCTTGTCAACAGTATGTTTATGTATTACTATTGTACAGAGTGTCTGTGGGGGTCTTCAAAAGTATTAAAATCTTATAAGTCAGTTTATATTCATTTAAGGTCCTTAAAAAGTATTAAAAAGTCCTTAATGCTATTTTACAAGGCATTCAATTTTGTACCATTTTTGATTGTACAATGTAGGTGTATGCTAAAGTCTGTCTGAATTAAATCTGTGAATATTGGGATGCTATGGTGTTTAAGAAATCAATAGTATCCTGCTATACATTTGATATCACGCTGCTTTGTTCACTGCAGCAACCAAGGCAACACCATTATTTATTTCTGCTGTCCTATAGGTGCCACCTGCTGGATTAGCAAATTTATTAAGTATATAAATAATGTTTTAGTTCAGGATTAGTTTCTTATTCAGGATTTAGTAAATGTACTGCAAGTTAAAATGTCACCAATGGTATTGGTTAAAACCTAATGTGGAGATGAGGTGTTTTTTTAAATACATCTACTAAACCAGTGTTTCTCAACCACATTCCTGGAGGACAATTCCACCAGTCCCACGCACATCCCACATCTCCCTACCTAAACACACCCGATCCAGATCATCAGCTCATTAGCAGAGACTGAAAGACCCGTAGTGGTTGTAACAGTAGACATCCAAAACACGCAGCGCTGGTGGTCCTCCAGGAACATGGCTTTTTTTTATTTTTTTATAATGTATTTCTTAAATTTTTAAGCAATTCAGATGCAACAACAAACAAGTGAACAGAACATGGGGGGAAAGAACGAAAAATGTAGTTAAATAAAAAAGGAAAAAAAAAAGGAGGGGGGTTAATAAACATAGCGATGTTACATATTTATGCACCACAAACCTTTACAAGATCTGACCTTGTTAAATCAACCCTCTGATGATTATGGAGGATATGTTTAAACCCACATGTAAGAAAAATGGATTCCACCTCTCATGAAATAAAACATCTTTGCCATCATGACACTAGTTATGTAGTCCAGTGGTACATATTCAAGTATTACCCTGTGCCATAAAGACTTTGTAGAAGTTTCTTCTGGAGATGAGGTGTTAAAATGTATGGAAGGAGTGTTATAACTGTCTTAAAAGGTATTGAATTGCATTCTTTGATGTCTGAATATACCCTGTTGTATATCTTTACTCTTTATGTAATGTTGTACTATTGCATTTACAACCATCTTCAGTCATGAGCAGGAGACGTTCTTTTAAGGTGTGTTTAGATCTGATTTCAGATTTAAAGATTGATGATTCTGTGGTTAATTACGTTTGCGATCTGGAGAGTTTCCAGAAGTGCTAATTCAGTTTTTGTTTTGGTTAGAGCCGTCTGCTGTGAAAGATGAAGAGGCCATTAATCTGGAGGAGATTCGAGAGTTCGCCAAGAACTTTAAGATTCGACGGCTCTCTCTGGGTTTGACACAGACTCAAGTGGGCCAAGCTCTGACTGCTACCGAGGGCCCTGCGTACAGTCAGTCAGCCATCTGCAGGTCATTCACTTTTCTTTCGTATTAATGTACTTTTTTTTTTTTTTTTTTAAACATGTAGTATGTTGGCTGCAGTAGCCTACTGGGCAGTCATAATAAAAGCAAAATGCAAAAACAGGTCTGTATGGGACAAGTCGGATTTATACTTTGGTTCTATAAAATATTGACACAATATATATAAATAAATATATATATATATATATATATATATATATATATATATATATATATATTTTTTTTAATCCAGTCAGACACACACTGATATACATACAGTTGGGAAATTAAGTATTGGACACATCATGTTTTTTCCTGGAAATAATATCTCTAACGGAGCTGTTGACATGGAATTGAACCAGATTTTGGTAAAAACCCAAACAATACAAACATAAAAAACAAATACAAAATCTGAAAAATTAGTAATATTAGTAATATTTGTGTAATAACAATGTAACGACACAAGGAGGAAGTACTGAACTACTGAAATGTATTTAATACTTTTTATAAAAGCCTTTTTAATGATGGCAGCTTAAAGACGCCTCTAATATGGAGAATGAAGTCGCATGCATTGCTCAGGTGTAAATTTTTCACAGACTATAACAGAGTGTAAAAATCCTGATGTTTCTGTGGGTCTCGTCTATCAAATCTAATCTTTATTTTGTATTTTCTATTGGATTTGAGTCAGGTGATTGGCTAGGCCATTCCACAGCTTGATTTTCTTTCTCTGAAAGCATTTGAGAGTTTCCTTGGCTGTGTTTAGGATCATTGTCCTTCTAAAAAGTCCACCCTGGTTTTATCTTTATCATCCTGCTAATGTAGATGTTAAACTGAAGCAGCTGATATTAATTTACAATGACGAAGGGTGGAGGGTTGCTGAAGAACTACTGAGAGATTTCAGCTGCTGCCTGGGCTTTCATTGTCTTTTTACACCTTCCTTTTGTCATGTGTTCAATACTTTGACATTTCATTTTATTATACAACTTCATGTGTAAACTAATTAGATTTGTTTTCTTTGCATATATGAATTTCTTTGGTTGTTTCACCCCCTCCTTTGTGGACTCTTTTGGTACCTATTAATCTTCTTTATGTCTCCAACAGATTAGATTTTTCACCTAAATCCGAAAGGTTAAGCTATACAGCTCTAATTACGTGCCTTCAATTTCAACTTTAACTAGAAGTGAATCGCACGGCCCCTGATTTCTACCCCCTCCCAGGAGTAGATCGCTTTTGCTATTCAAACGTAATAAAAGGTCTTGATCTCAGCCATATACAGTTGACGTCAGAATTATTAGCTCCCCTTTGATTTTTATTTTCTTTTTTTAAATATTTCCCAAATGATGTTTACCAGAGCAAGGAAATGTTCACAGTATGTCTGATAATATATGTATATGTATATATGTATATATGTATATATGTATGTATGTATGTATGTATGTATGTATGTATGTATGTATGTATGTATGTATGTATGTATGTATATGTGTATATGTGTGTGTATATATATATATATATATATATATATATATATATATATATACACATATACATACATACATGCATACATACATATATATATATATATATATATATTATGTATTGCCATTATGGCAAAGAGGAAATAAATCAGTTATTAGAAATTAGTTATTAAAACTATAACATTTAGAAATGTGTTAAAAATAATCTTCTCTCCGTTAAACAGAAATTGGGGAAAAAAAATTAATTCAACTATAAATTTGTATCAACTATAAATGTGAGCATGTAAGTATGTGTGTGTGTGTGTGTATATATATATATATATATATATGTGTATATATATGTATATATATATATATATATATATATATATATATATATATATATATATATATATATATATGTATATATATGTATATATATGTGTGTGTATATATATATATATATATATATATAATTTACTCTCTCTCTGTCTTTATAATTACAATGTAAATGTTTGCTCCATTTGTTATACATTTACAAATTTATCTTCATTCAATCATTTATATTGTTTTTTGGCTTAGTCCCTTTATTAATCTGGGGTCGCCACTGCAGAATGAACCGCCAACTTATCCAGCATATGTTTTATGCAGCGGATGCCTTTTCAGCTGCAACTGATCTCTGAGAAACATCTATACACACACTCATTCACTACGGACAATTTAGCCTAAACAATTCACCTGTACCGCATGTCTTTGGGAAACCGGAGCACCCAGCGGGGAACCCACACGAACGCAGGGAGAACATGCCAACTCTGTACAGAAACGCCAACTGACCCAGCTGAGGCGCGAACCAGCGACCTTCTTGCTGTGAGGCAACAGCACTACCTACTGCACCATTGCGTCACCCCATATTTATCTTATCTTAATTATTATTCTTTGTAGAATAAAAGACTAGAATAGTAACTTCTTCATCTCTAAGGGAAAATTCAGATTGTATTGGGTGTAAAAACGTTCTATACACAATTTCCATATACAGTATACACAATTCTATATAATTTCCCAATAAACATAATCATAAACATAAAAATGACCAACCATCCATGTGGATCAAATGTACACATGCTTCACTTCAATATCTTGTGTTTTTGATACTTTGCTAGGTTTGAGAAGCTGGACATCACTCCTAAAAGTGCGCAGAAGCTGAAGCCTGTGCTGGAGCGCTGGCTGGCCGAGGCAGAGCTCTGGAACCAGAAAGGTCAGCAGAACTTGATGGAGTTCGTGGGAGGAGAACCGTCCAAGAAACGCAAACGGAGAACGAGCTTCACGCCACAGGCCATAGAAGTCCTCAACACTTACTTCGAGAAAAACTCCCTTCCGACGGGCCAGGAGATTACAGAGATCGCCAAGGAGCTGAACTACGACCGAGAGGTGGTTCGGGTCTGGTTCTGCAACCGTCGACAGACTCTGAAAAATACCAGCAAGATTAACGTGTTTCAATCCCAGTAGGAACAACGGTGGATTTTACGGACGTGGATGTATTGGTGCTAGCTGCAAAATGACTCAATTGCTGTTGTGATGAAGCCAGCGGTACTCGGATTGTGTGCAGTCTTCGTATAGTATCAGACATACTCTTTTTGTTGTTTCTTTTGTTTCCGTTATGCTGCATGCAGAGTGACGTTTTGCCGTGCCACAACAGTTTTCAATGATAAATGGCTTTCGAACTATTTAAAGTAAAGACGATGCTACAAAATCACGTAGTCGCTGTTTTACGGACAAAAATAAGCACTTAATTAAATATGTAAATGAGAAGAACTTCCAAAATGTTCTCAGTTTTTATTTTTTGGTAGGAACTAACCGCTTAAATTGTGACTACGTTTACATTTAGCTGGTTATTCAATAATTTGACCGGTTTAGGGTTTTTTAATTCATATAATTTTACTGTAAACTTTACGCTGGTGACTGTACTTTAATTGCCTGACACAAATTACTGATACTCGGATATCTCACACTGTTCAAAAATCCAGGGCATATTTATGATTTTTTTTTCCATTTCAGTTTCAGTAAACGCAGCGTTTTTGTGCTTAATGTAGATGTGGTTCGTTCAAGTGGACAATCATAGTACTCTAAATCAGAAAGCATGCCCTGCTTTTATATAGTTAAGACATTTCTAATTTCCATCTTGACTGTCATCATATTTTTGTGTGTCAGAAGTATATGGTTTCACTTTCAAATGCAATTTCAAAGATTACATTAATTGACTTAGAAAATTATGGATTTTACTGTTAGTGTTTTTGCCATAACCTATAAGTAGGGCCAGATGGAATCTGTGGACATTTTTTGCTATTTCTGCTGAGAATTTTGTAAAAAATCTGTGGATTTATGTGGAATTATGTTGGGAGTATCGTAACTAATTACTTAATACATGAAATGAAAAATAATAGTTTTTTTAACATTTATTTAATGTTTAAAATGCAAATCCATCTAGATCCACTTGTTTGGTAAACAAAGCAAGACTCTCATATAATATATCTACTAAAAAAACAGAAATGATTACTTTAGAAACTGTTTTGTAAAAAAACAAACACATTCATATTAGTCAATAAGATTACTGAAATTAATTAAAAAAAACTGAATAAATATAAATTTACACACATTTACACAAGTAAATAAAGAGACTTAATGATAGGCTGAAAATCTGCCAAATTCTGCGCAAGCAGATTCCATGTGGGCCTACCTATAAGCATATGGAGAGATGAAGTGATACTTGCATTCACACTTGTATGGGCACATCTTTTGGAAAGTTTGTGAGCCGTCAAACAAGTGTTATTTCTATCATAAATGCATTGAATAAATTTGGACTGCGCTGTCATTTGTACAATTTGTGGCAGGAATATTCATCGGTCATGTAATCATTTTCCTATTTGGTACAACTGTCCAGACAGAAGTGTGTTGTAACATGTGTTTCACATGTTTGTCTTAAGCATAAAGCTATATTGTTCTTATGGACCTTCAGTATTTATCTAATGAATTCTTATTGGTACAATACCATGCATTTACATTTTAACATTGTGAAGAAGGAATGGCATTAGATATAGTGTTTTAACAAATGCTATTATTAACGTAGACTAAATGTGTACAAAAAATGAAAAGTTCAGCATTTTAATGTGTGCAGAAGTTATCGATTTTAAAAAGACGCCTAAATGCATTTACAAATTATAAACGATGGTACGGTACTCCATTAACTATATTTATTTTGTATCAATTGTACTATTTGGTATTAACTTGTCATTTGAATAAATTAACACTAAAGAGTCTTGCTGTTTTTGATTTGAATATGTTGGTAAGCCCTTGTCCATCTCTTTCTACAACAAAGACCATCTCAGAATACATTTAAAATGTACAAATATTACAGTGTACAAGTAAAGTTGGTTTTAAATGGCTTGACAGAGTTTAAATTAGACAGTTTGTCATACTATTTATGGTTTCTGTGGTCTTAAAATATGTTTAGAAATTGATATTACCATGGTAACAATATTTTCCACCAAAATGCCACCACTGCATTTATTATCAATGCTCAGAAATCAGAGCAAACTGCTTCTACAAACTGTGTAAAAGGCTTTGAATTATTTAGCTTTATTTATTTATTTCAGAGATATATGGGATATGATGAAACAGTTTTGTAATGTTTGGAATCATATTTATCTGTAATATTTGGGACTGTATAAAGTTAGCTGACCCTATATTCACAGATAATAGTATAAAATACACTATTTCAATGTGGACATCTCATTTCCTGCTTGTTGTTAAACCAACAAGAGGCAATTTAATCATAGTTCATGTTAAAACTGCTGTCATAACATTATTTATCAATATGTGGCTCTTTTGGGGTTATCGGAAGCTATAGAAATGATAAATGTACAACAGGAAGTACGTTTGCACCATTGTTTTTGTTTACATCCCTCACAATTGTCTATATAATAACAATGTATGTTAATATTTTGTTAATTATATTTATATTAAATCATTAATAATATGATAGTCAAAGACGAAAAAGGATTTGCAATATATTTAACATTTTGGCAGGCATATTTAGAAGTAGAATCATTTTTTGACATTATACGTACATGTTATATTTTATGTACCACTTTAATTTACTTTTTTACTTTCACCCTTTTGCCAGCAAATAAAAAATATATATAATATAATTTGTGATCTCTTATTATTTTATAATTTTATGAATAGGCCAAATTAAGTATTATATGTTTACCTAAGCACATCTCCAACACTGACTGATGTTTCTAGCCCAAATAGCCTGTTTAGTTACAATTAATTGCTTTCTATGTATATTAAATGACTTCAGGATATTTAAATGGGAGTGCATGTTTTAATTTGTACCATACCTTTCGCGGTCACCTTTTGGGTACCCTGCTGAAAAATCCAGCTTAAACCAGCCTAGTTTTGGCTGGTTTTAGAGGGGTTTTGGCCACTTCCAGGCTGGTTTTTAGCAGTTTCCAGCCTGGTCTTAGCTATAACCAGGCTGGAAATGGCTGGAAACCAGCCTGGAAGTGGCCAAAACCCCTCTAAAACCAGCCTGGTTGACCAGCCAACCATCCTAGGCTGGTTTAAGCTGGATTTTTCAGCAGGGTACTTTTCCTTGGCAAAAGGCATCGCATCTCCAGGTCGATAGGGGCCGCAAGTGTTCTTGAGTCGGTCACTTTTCCAGCCGTTGGTGAGGAAGACTACTGCGGATATTACGGCAATTTCTACAGAGTAGAAGAGATAAACAAACATGTAATATTATACACAAGACATTTATTGAATTACAACTCATACTGTCTCAATATTATACATTTTCTTCGAATTTATCCGAGCGTCGTCACATTTTTGGGTGTCTGGTGAAGGAATTTAATCTACCTTCTTTCGACCACATCGAAGTTGTCTTGCCAAAAGAAGGACGATGGGTGGAAAAATGGCGTGAAACGATGATCTTTACCACATTCTTTATCTGACTGCTGTCAGAGGTAATTAACGTTATTTCTAAGTCATTAATGATAAAACGCCGAATTTTGAACGATATTTGTGAAGTTGCTCTCCTCTGATTGAATTACGTAATACAATACATGTGTTGGTCATGTGTAGAGCTGTACGTACTTCTGAATATATGAACTCATTTTGGGGGTTTGCTCTGTCCTTAGCGTCAAGTTTGGTCCAGTAAGAATTGTATTAATTAAGAATAATAGTTTAGAAAATGTTCAGGTGATATAATTTTTTTTATTTTTCCTGTTATAATAACAAACCTTTATGTATGTTTAATCTAAATCTTTTGTGCATATATATATATATATATATATATATATATATATATATATATATATATATATATATATATATATATTCTTTTTTTTTTTCAGAGATGAGTCTGTGATCGTCCCTAAATCCAAAGGGAGGCTGCCAGAACTGTGATTCTTTTTTTGATTTTGTTGGTAAATTGTAAGTCTAAAATCATGGCTTGGGCTCTGAAATTACCTCTGGCCGATGAGGTGATCGAGTCTGGTCTGGTCCAAGACTTTGATGCCAGTCTGTCAGGGATCGGGCAAGAGCTTGGAGCTGGTGCTTACAGCATGAGGTGAGATTCATCACTTAACTTACACTTTTTTATTGTTTGCTTGATTAGGAATGTTTAAACAGTGTCTGCGTATTTTATTAATGTTTCCTGAGGCCTGTGGGTTTTGATGTAAGTTATTTTTTATTAATTAATAGCTACTGGTGCCTTATTGAAAAGCATTTAGTCTAGTTTACTTGCCTAGACACATTTCTCCTGCTGTTCACATGTCACTCCGGGGTGTTTAAATGTCATGATGAATGTGTTTCAGCACCGTCTGACCTTCCAGACTGGCACACACTGTATCTTGTAAGCTCTTACAGGACTGTTATGCAGAAAATTAACCATTTTGAAAAGTACTGGTCTATTTGTGCCAAGGTTATTGTGTGGGTTTTGGTGAGGTGTTTAGGAAAGGATCATTTGTAATGTACAGAGGCGTATTGACAAACTAAAGTTCTCTGTGATGATTTTAAAATGCATCTAAATGTTTTTAAATAAGTCATTTTTTTGTTTTGATTTATATTATTATAGTATAATGAATTCTAGCGTTGAGAGGCAGAGAGAATGACTCCATCTAGTCCCATTAGCTGGTCTCCAGGTAACAAAGGAGCCTGTTATAAACCCCATGTTCCAGTTCGGCCTCGCCATCTGTTTGGATTAGCTCTTAGATGTATGAGTAGCGATATATTAGAAATATTTGTGAAGAAAACAGAATGTATATTTGTTAATAACTTCTCCATTATCTTGCTGTTTTTTTCTCAGTGATGTGCTGGCTCTCCCCATCTTCAAGCAGGAGGAGTCTAATTTACCGCCAGAAAGCGATAATAAGATCCTTCCTTTCCAGTATGTACTGTGTGCCGCCACCTCTCCTGCTGTCAAACTACATGATGAGACCCTCACCTACCTCAATCAAGGTCTGTTCAGCAATAATTCCTGAGGAATTTGTTATTTAGAATTAATGAGTAAATATTTGATGTATCCAAGCTGTGGTTTACAGTTAACAAACTAGCCAAAGTGACCCACACATCCAAAAGAGGCACTTTGATAAATGTGTGAATATATTCTGCACACTTCCTCTTAATTACAAAATAATAAATGCACAACTTTGATGAGAAAATGGCAGTTTAAGGGGTAGTTCACTCAAAAATGATACTTGCACTCGAGTGATTCTAAACTTTACTTTCTTTCTTCTGTTGAACACAAAAGGAAGATATTTTCAAGGATGTTTGAAACCACAAGCCATTGACAAAATAGAGATGCTTATGTCTTTGCAGATTCTCACTTGGAAAAAAAAATAATCCTAATTTCCATCATTATTGAGACAAATTATACATGCTTCTGTGATTATTTGCATTGTTTTATAATATTATAATATGTAAAGATTTTTTAATTAATCGCATACATTAGCATATTATTAACATCACTTATGTGTAATTTGAAATGTTTTAAATGTAATTTAAATGCACAATATTGGAAAAATTGAACATTGCAATATTCTTTAATCTACAATATATTTTGCAATATGAATGCAATTTCACTAGATGACTTAATAAATCTCTATTTGGAAAGAATTTATAATGTTCGATTGATTTGGATGATAATGCAGTGGGAGTGTGTCTGCGTAAAATCTAATATACAATCTAGAAGTACAATAACAATTATCATATTCACCTTATTCTCCACCGACGAGTGGGACGCAGCCATTTATTCTCACCTTATTCTCCACCGACGCAGCCATTTAAATCTTTTTGGCTTGAGACTTCCGGTCTTATTCACTTCCATTAATTTTTTGATGTTAAAAACTGCTCATTACGCTGCTTGATGTTGCAATTTGATATTTTCTTATTGTATTATTCTATTTGGTCTGTATAGTCATGCAAACATTTGTTTGTAGAGCAAGTAGTTTGACCGTTTTCTGCCGTTTATTATTCCTAGTCATTTCTCCCATAGGCGACTGAATCGGAAGTTCTAAGACAATCGCGAAAACAGGCGCACTTCCGCATTTTAGAATAAGGTCAATAAGATACAATTGAAATAAACACGTTTTTTTTTTCCCAAGTCTAACAGTATTCAGGTACAGTTATTGAGTAATAAAAATTGTTATTGAAGTTACAAATGCTACAATTTCTTATGCCTGAATGCTTTTAAAATCATTATACAATCGCAGGCCTTAAAAACACATCCAAATGATTTTACAAAATTCAACATTGCGAGATCGATGCTGAAATGATATATATTGTGCAGCCTTAAAAGTGAAAAGAAGAGATGTAGATAAGTGGGTGGAAATTTTGTTAGTGCTCCAGCATTTCCACAAACCGTTTACTTCTTTATTGCATAGATAGGAGCATAATAAGGAGAATATTGATTCATTAATTCATTCATTTTCTTTTCGGCTTAATCCCTTTATTAATCTGGAGTCGCCACAGCGGAATGAACCGCTAACTTATCCAGCACATGTTTTACGCAGCGGCTGCCCTTCCAGCTGTAACCCATCAATAAGAAATATAAGCAGAATAACGAGATGTAACTTTTTTTTTTCTGGTATTTGTATAAACTCTTTTTTTCCCACCACCTACAGGACAGTCTTATGAAATTCGAATGCTGGACAATCGGAAAATGGGAGAGCTTCCTGAGATTAATGGGAAAATGGTGAAGGTGAGGATTCGCCATTTCTTATTTGCCATCTGCCATAAATCATCCTTCCCACATACA